CCCTACAATTGTAGGGACGACTGACGATACGGGCCTAAAACCAATTTCATATTTTGCACTCCAATGACAAATTTTATGGAAATCTACTTGTGTTTGAGATATAAGGAACTTGAGCTTACATCAATCCACATTTAGCAGTTTGTAACGTCCCAAAATCACGTAACCTTTTTTTTACGATGAATTTTGATCTCTTACCAGTAATTTGAATCTCTCTTTACCCCCAACATTTTTTTTGGGAAATAATACAGTACTGAGGTGAGGTCTACCCATAGGCAACCAGTGATGTTCTTTGTATAGGTTCGGCTGCGAACTTTTCCTGTAATGCGTGTGGGTGATCATTTCCGGTTGAAGCGATGGTTGGGAAGACCTTGAAGAAAACCACCATTTGCACTCCTCCAGCTTTGTAGCTGTTTTGTAGCTGATTTTACTGGAAGCCATCACTTTTCCTTGAGACAAATTCCTTCTAATTCTTTGCGCGGGCGCCCCTAAAGCTGGCTCAGCCGTATCATTGTCCTTTATTCCAGCGTACCCCGGTACCCACGATACCGGATGCCTCGCTGCTACATCCAGAGCGTCCCTACATTGCAATACAAGGCTCAGAGTAATCTTACAGGCACTTAGTGCCTTCATTGCAGCCTGGCGGTCGGAGAAAATTGTTATTCTCCTCCTAGGCCCTCCCTCCTCCAAAATATGGGATACACAAGCCAGAAACGCAAAGATTTCCGCCGGTAAATAGTGGTGTATTCACCAAGAGGCAGAGGGAGCCTAGTTCTAGGCCCAGAGACCCCGGAGTCAAAGCCTTGTTCGGTGACCGAGCCGTCCGTATAGCAGACCTGCCCACTCACTCCGGGATCTTCCGGCTACCTGCGTCTCACCCCTGCTCAGAAGGACAGGATCCCCCATTTACAGTTTGACTAAGATGGCAGTGTGTCCCTTGATAGGAAACAAGAAAGCCCGGATGCCCTGACCCAAAGTTGATGTGCGACTACTCTCGCTTCACCGCGGATCACTAGATCCAACGGTGGGAGATCCATAAAGGGCAAACGATAAATTTTTGAGTTTGACTTAGTTGTCTCGGTTCCAATGCAAAGCCACCAAACCAGGGAGCCGTGGACGTACTACCGTCGTGCGCAGTGCGCCCTGGACATGCAGTAACTTCAGTAAAGGACTTTCAAGAAAGTAAATTTAGTCCACATTTGCCTGGCGGCAAAAACGTACTGATTACCAAACTGTTAGACAACGTACTCGTCAGAACCAAATTTCACCAGAATTCGCAACCATAGTAACCGTAGCCTATGCAATATCAGATATGAAAACCGTAAGTTGGATCCACCCTGTATGGGTAGATACAAACTGGAAATCGTCGATTCAGGATCTCCAACTAATTGCAACATTAGCGAATATCTGTGTAGTTTCCAGTCAAGGCATCTTTAAAATTGTTGCTAAACAGCTTAATGAGATGGAACATTCTATATGTGGAAGGAATTTTTCCAAAGAAAGTGAAGTTAATCCTAACAATGCAGCTGCTTGGTATACCATTGAAAGGTAATTATTATGCACTCTTTTGTACACAGGATGAATTTGGAAGAATTTTCCGATTCAGCAGGATAAATAATACGGCAGGAGGTTAACCATGCAATACAAGCACAGTTGAATATAATCAAATGAAAATCAATCAAAAACTGGACAGTTGAGTAGTTAATTAATTCTTAATTTTTCTCTGAGAAGACTTCAGACTGGACCAACATACGCCAATTTGTTTGCTGGAAAATTACTTTTACTCCCGTGATAGCTTGTAAACAACATTATACGAGTAAATAAATTTACGATTTCTAAATATTTACAATAAGTTGTTAATATTTTAGATTAGTCAACTAATGAAACAAAATATTAGGTTACGATGTCTCATTGGCGGCGAATGATAGTTACAATTTAGAATGTCCAATACATCTTTACTTCTAATCACAAAATCACATAGTAGCAATATCTTTTGCGGACTACCAGTATGGGAAATATGCCGATTGTAATGGAACACGAAATTTAAGAAATCGAGCCTTCATATTAGAAGTAAAAGTACAAAGGTCTTTGTATTCTGCTTGGAATTTAAAAACAACAAACCATTATAGCTGAAGTACTTTAAAAATGTTTTTTGTTACATATTGTGTAAGAAGCATGCGTGAATGTTTGTGTGAAAACCATCCGATATTTTTATATCATCTCTTTTAACTAGCAGTACTATTGGAATATTTAAGATCTACAACTAAACTCTACTAGCTTTGTGTTTCAAATAACAGCAAGAAATCCAAATAAATGTTTTCACTTAAAGCTAGTGTGCTCATCAATTTAATTTTATAGAGAGGTACACGTTGAGAGTTTCTTTGAGGGAAGTAATCTCTGGAACTCCAGATCCGATTTTGAAAAATATTTCAGCAGTAGAAATCTACATACTAAAAGCGGAGAATTACTAGTCCGTGCTAATCTGCTCTCACTCACTTAGCGATTCAGGTCTAGCAAGGTAATTTTACACTGAGATACAGCAATATATAGTATACCACTTTCTTGAAACAAAAAAATGCAGACTTGGGCGCCTCCCTCTAAATCCGCCCTTGCTTGAGAAACGAGTGTTTTGCCATGGTTTACCTCGAGGTGGAACTACTATAATATAGAGAGAAGTCCTAAACAATTAACATACTCGTAGGCAACAAGAAATAAAATAAACATGAAATAAATCCTCAAAACTCGGTAGTACTGAGAACCACACAAAATAATGTAACGCCCTTGAAGCCCGAACTTTGAGTAACAATGAGACACCCTCGTAACATCGACGCTTAGGCAACCGGAATTGCGCGACCGCGCTTCGTGGACGTTCGCCACGCATCGAGAAAAATCGACCGTTGTCTACCAGGTTTCGATGAATACTCGATTTCAATCCAGGGAACGCGGGAATGCTTCTGGATCCGCCGATTCCAAGATAATACACGCGCCGAGGGGAGAGAGAGAGAGAGAGAGATAGAGACGACATATGGGTCAACAGCACAGATCACCATAGTCCAGTCGACATGGTCATAAATTTGTAATAAATTAGTTGCAAGTATTGTGATAAATTAGTCAGAGAGTAATAAATTAGACCTGAAGGATGGCGTTTAAGTACCAGGAGATTTTAAAATCAAATTAGTATGTTGCAATAAAATATATGAAACGCCAATTTTATACATTTTCAGCGACACAATAAAAAAAGGGTGTTTTCGAAACAATAATTTGATCACAAGTAACAATATTTGACGCTCAACGAAATGGGCACAGGACAGATAATTATTTATGATACAGATCATATTTGTAATTTTCATTCCTTATCAGTAGAAAATCTTTATTGTGAATATAGTTCCCACGCCAATAGTCAGGAGGGTATGTAAAAATGAAATGTAATCGCAAGCAATTTTAGATTTCAGTTACAGTGGTCGCATAAATATGCTTTCTCTCTCATTAATATTATGCTTGATTGCAATAGATGCTTCTGAATAAAATAAAATGAATAACATCTTTTGCAACTTTTCTTTAAAACCATTAACCGTTATTGAGATAGCAGCTATTTCCAGCTTAATGCAAGGTCAACCGTTAGTTCAAAAAAAAGCCCTATAGTAGTAATAATAATAATACTAATAAAATGCCTTTTATTTTACTGGCGAGGATTCAGCTGCTTACTTCGTAACCAGGGCACCAATTGCTTACAAGCACCTTTACAATAAAATTTAATAATTTATAAGAGTTTAGGAAAAAGAAAACAACAAGAGTCTGTTTACAGTTATATAGATAGGTCGTCTTAAATATGAAATAGTAGTTCGTATTGAAAAAAAAAACAGGGGACTGCAAAATGATTCTGTGCCTATCAGGGTTGACTACCCAAAATCAAAAAAAAATGCAACACTGAAACGAAGAGTTACGCCAACAACAAACTCATATGTATTGAAGTACATATCTAGGGTATAGCTTTGCAATAGAACCGGGGATTGCATGGTAGATATGTAATATTATAGGGCCTTTACAACATATACTCGTATGACTTTTTTGTTTGCACGATTCTTCGATTGGGTTCTGGCACTTTTGTCAGTTTTGAGCAGTCGACTCTTATAGGCACAGAATGACCCTGTGATTCTCTGATTTTTTGCAACTACTATGGGGTATCTAAAACATACATATATGGGTTTGTTGATAGCACAATTCTTCATTTGGGTTTTGCAAATTTTTATATAAGCATATATTTTATATAAACATATATTTGATTAATGAAAAATACCAAAACTATAATGCAGTACCTAATACAAAAAAATGCTAATATGCATACCAATATATTTTTTCAAGATTTATATATCTTTGCATTATGCTGTACATAGCTAAGCGCTGCGCGCCCTCCACCCTTTAGCTCAAAAACAGTTAATTGCTAAATGAAAAAATGTTCAAAACAAATGTTGTAGAGAATTTTATACTAGCTTTGAACCCATAAGATCTTTGAAAAAAACGAGTTTTGTGACCCTTGATATCTTAAGACCGTATCAATGACAAAATAAGGGTTTTTACGAGTTTACAGCTTATGATCTCTCATTTCGAGGTGAAACTCCTAATATGACTGGATTACAGATGAAATTGAAATACACGGAAGCCCATAGAAGAGAGGGAGAGTTTAGGTCTGGAGATCGAGTAGGCCGTAGTCGATGTCCTCCACCCTTGACCTAATCAAAGATCAATCATCATTCAGTCTATTCGAGTAACGCGAAGATATTGAAATCTTGCACTATGTCTGGAGGTGAATAGCTTTTTTAGCAGTTTTTGTAGATTAAGATGGTTCACATACCATTTTTGATGAGAAGAAATATTTTCAGCTTCTCCTGAAACGCGTCTTTTAAACGATCGAAAGACTATTAGAAAGATCTAAAAAATCACTCGGTATATCCACTATCTACAACAGATAATGACTATTATGATACTTCGCAATAAGTCGTTCGCAGATATTTACAAATACATGACGCTTCTAAATATGCAACATTATTATGGCTTCAAACAAATATTCTTAGAAAGCTGTAGTCAATTAACCACGTGGTGCTTCAAACAAGAGATTTGCTGCTCTCCACACAAAAATCCATATAAGTTCGGTGTAATCTAATTATTACGAGTATGAAAGTTCAAGTTTCCAACAGATAAAACAGCGCGTCTACTCATCCTTATTAGTTTGACCTTTCTGTTTGTGGTTACTATTTCGTGTCGGAACAGCACCGTATCAACTGGGATATTTGTGATTTGTGTGGGGAAAAAATGAGGCTTATCGTTGTTACTTTGGCTGCTTTCATCGGTAAGTAAGTGCTTAGACTTTTTACTTCTCGCTTTTTAAAAAAAGCGAGATATGGTGATGGGAAAACATCCGCTCGATACAAACCCATAAAATACTTAACTTTTTAAAATTGGGGAATCATAGATGCAATATTAAGCGGAAAATTTTCTCATCAGATTTTTGAATTTTGTCTCTGTAATGCAAAAATAATAGGATTTTTACAGAATATATTTTTTATTTTACATACCGAGAAAAGGAGATATTTCTCAAACGTTTGGAAATTTTGTTAATACCCCTTGTTAGGTAAATGGATAAACGATGGTTCACTGTTTTAAAAATATTCTAAGGTCAAAATCTAGTTTATGTCCTAATTCTAAAATGTTTGTGTCTGAAAGTTTCGTTAGATCTATCCTTATAGCAACCTTTTCAAAAAATCTACCTAATAGTAATGCAGAACGAGCTTAAATCGCTCAATAAATTCTATTCAGCATCATTCATATTTATAGAATTCTTCTGGAAGAAAATAAATTGTCTGAATAGGATCTGTTTGCTTCAGGCTAAGCGAAAATAGCAAATCGTATACAACGTTGTTTCATGCTTTTTAGAAATCAGCAGTACTGTACAGGTCTAGTTATTTGTGGGCAGATGACAGAAATCAAACAAAGATGGGTCTATTGAGAAACTCCTAACCGTGTCGAACTTCGTACATCGAGAACTGACCGGTAGGACTACTCCCTTGTCTCTAGATTGTGGAACAATTTACCTGAAGAGACTCTTCCCAGTTCTGCTAACTTTGGGCAGTCCAAGAGTCGGATAAACAAAGTGCCTTTATGCTCTTTATAGCAGCTGCGGTGCCCCGATATTTAGGCGCTTCTGCCTACGAGGCTGCGAAGGTATAAAAAAACTCAGTTTTGTGATGTGCGAAACTACTCATAGGTGGCGTAACACCCTTGGTTTATTTTTTTGCATAAGAAAATAACTTGTTTGCTTGAACATAGGTTTGTTATTAATACAAAAACGACACTACCATATCTCGCTTGACTTAATCAATTATGCATTGAATGCGTGATGTATCAATTTATTGTGTATTCAAATGTACTATATTTTCTAAAAGTGTTCTTATTCATCATTGAAGTCTACGATTTTGGTCATTTTAGTGGGTTGTAAAGCAAATTTTGGGAGATGGACAGTTTAAAAATTGTGACGCACTTGCAAATTTAAAATGTCGTTTCAGGGCATAAAAAATAGAGAAGTTTATAATGATTCAAATTAAAAAAAAGTGTTTGCAAAATTTGTTGAATTATATTCGAGTTATGAAGATTTTGAAGCGCAGGGCAATGATGCAAATGGAAAAACTCATCTCAATAGCCAAATGTGTTTTCGAAAAATGTGAGGTGTGCTATTAAAGACAGTCCAGACCCCCTATTATGGAAACGAATCTTTTCCAAACCTATGTTTATATGAACTGCTATTTATATTTAACTTTTTATAATTAATTGTGTTGAATTTGCTCTTCAATTGAGTAAGTAAATATCCCTACTAAAAGTAAAACTTAAATGGATACCAAGCAACATAGAAAAATTCAATCTGCTACATATTTACCAACCCACTAGAATTACTTTTATTTGTGCAACATGTACGATGTGTTTTGTATTACTGATAGAAACGATGACCTCAATTGTATAATCTGGAGTTATTTTGTTGTCAAGAGGTCAGAATAGTTGTGATCTTCGTCGTTATTTAGCAGAGATCTATGTATAAATTTATGTTGATAATATCATCTCCAGTTCTAAGAAAACCTTGTTGATGTATAATGAATGGTTACTGATAAAAAAATTTAGTACAAGCGTGTACACCTACTATTTATTTAAAGAGAAGAAAGGAAAATTATCAACTGTCATTTATGTATATAGAACACAAAGAAAAATATCAAGCGTTATGGACCAGGTGATATAAAGCGAAAATAGTTATTTATGTATCTATTTCTAAATGGGCGTTTATAGTCCGAGGCGAGAAATTACAAACGACTTTTTCCATTTCGCGTAGTTTCTCATTGAATTTTGTCAACGTAAAACGTTTTTCTCGAGAATTTTAATTAGATTTTTACACCATATGACTCACTTTTTTTATAATTATTTGGTATCAGGTTGATGGCCCACCATAGACAGTTGTTTCGTGCTATTTGGCAACTCCTCAGCTTGGTATATGCTTGGTCTCAGTGGACAACGAGTGAAAGCTGCGCAATTTTACTCTATTCGATAAAACAAAAGGTCCTTCATTAATAAAAACATGTTTTCTACCTAAAAGATGTCAATCTTGCCACGTAAATCGTACTCAAATAACTTTTATAGTTTTTCTATTGAACTTATTCCATTTTCTTCTACACCGCTCAATCTACAATAAAGACGATTTAGTTTTCGTAGAATGGTACAGATAAGGTTGTCTGCATGGGCCAAGTCACCAAACTTTAACTCCTATCTTCAACAAAAAGCATTTCTGGACATTAGATCAGCCCAGCATGAACTATATCTATACGAATTTTCGTTAAAAATGACCGGTGGTCAAATCCCGTATGTTATGTGCCTGATCCTTTCATATTTAGCAGGCTTTTGTGTATATTCTTTTAAGATTTGGCCTCCCTGAGCAAATTTGCTACCCCCAGAAAGTTTTTGAGACAGGCACACCCTCACAAAAAATTAACTCTAGTCGATGGCCCCCTAAGAAAAATTCCTTTGGGGTATTTTATATCTAGGCTTGCATTTTTAATTCTAATTTAATTTTGAAAACGTATATTGGGAACCTATATTGAATCTTGAACATCGGAAGAGAACTCATTCAAATCCTTTGTACTGCTCTCTGGAAGAAGCAGCCATTAGGATCTGATTTGAAATTGGTATATTTTACGTCAAACTGTTAACAACGGCTCTTTTCTCCAATTCTGACGAATGCGTAACCTCTATGGCATTCGTCATTTATTTGTCTGGGCGGTCCGTAGGACCTTTGCCCATTAGTCACTGTATGATGTACGTTAGTCGAATCTGTCAGTCCTGGTTGCCCAGACATACCATGGAGCGTTGCAAATTGTCCGCAAAGTTCTGCTTTGCAGTACTTGAAGACATTGCATGTGTGTCTTGGCAAGAAAACACCAAGCCGCACATGCATAAGTAATGGCTGGTCTAATAATCATTTTATATAGTCGAACTTTGTTTATCAAACTCAATTTGGAGGATCTACATAACAAAGGATATAGTTGCCGAAACGCAATTTGGAATTTTGTTTTTATGGCTGCTGTATGTTTCTGCCAGGTCATGCCTTTATCAAGGGTGACACCGAGATACTTGGCAGAATTTGTCCATGGTACACGATTTCCGTCTACAGAAACCTCTGCTGGGGGGCCGCGACGTTTTTTGGTACAATAAATAGCCTGCGTTTTCGAATGATTAATTTTTATCAGCCACCGTTCCGCCCACTCTAGAACTTCGTCCACCGCATTCTGCAACCCATCGTGAACCAGATCACCAGTACACGACTGGGCGACAAGCGCAGTATCGTCAGCATAGAGGTAGACTTCACAGTTGCTGGGGGAAGGGACATCATGGATGAAAAGCGAATAAAGAATTGGTCCTAGGACCGAACCCTGAGGAACACCGGCCCGTACTGGTCGTGTTGTTGACAAAACATTTTTAATTTTGATCCGAAACTTCCTTCCTTCAAGAAAGGATTTCAGTAATTTTAGAAGCCAAAAAGGAAAACCCTTTTGGATTAGTTTATAGAGGAGGCCCGCGTGCCACACCTTGTCAAAGGCTTTTGAGACATCCAAAAGCAAGATGCCAGTACTCATGCTAAGGGTGAACCCTCCGGTTACATGCTCCACCAGCCTGACTGCCTGTAGCTCGGTGCTATGCTCGGACCGAAAACCGAATTGGACGTCAGGAATCACATGGTGATTTGACGAAAAATTCTCAAGGTGACGATAAATCACCTTTTCGGCGAGCTTAGAAGGAGCTGACAGCAGGCTTATGGGACGGTAATCCTGAGGAAATATCGAACCCACCTTCTTTGGAATCATGATGACCTCAGCAGTCTTCCACCCAGCAGGGAAGTACTGGATTTTGAGCGTCGCATTGATTATTGTCACCAAGTATGTCAGGGCTTTCGGCGAGAGCAGCTTCAACGCCTTGTTGGTAATTTGATACTCCCCAGGCGCTTTACGCACCTTGAGGTCTTTAATATGACTTAGTAACTCCGCTGGTGTGCAATGTGGAAACTCGAAGGGTTCCGCTAATGTGCTATGCTATGTGCAGACGACTCTTCTGAAGAAGAGCCATCTGAAGAGGATTCAGTGCCTCCGCTGACGCCGTTGGCCCTAAAATATCTCCTGACGGATCGTACGATGTGCTGTTCCTCGTCGAGGTCATTATCGAGATCATAGTTGGGAGAGAACTGTTTTTCCATGGCATCAGCGAAAACCTCGACCTTATCCTCCGTTCTGAGGACTATGCCTTCAGGACCGTGGATGTGTGGGAGTTGTTCTCGCTTTCCTCCGTTTCTGAGTGACTTTGCGACCCTCCAGAGAGGAATACTTGAATCAAGCATTCCCGCCAGAAAGTCGCTCCATTGCTCGTTGCGGAGTTCGTGCAGTGCGTTTCTCACTTCATGGACAAGATATGTAGCCCTACGAATGTCATCAGGATGACAAGACCTTTTTGCCTGTTTAATAGCGGCTCTTTTGTCAGAGATTTTCTGACGAATGTCCGCAGGCAAAAAAGGTCTGCCGTGTCGTTGTACAGGAAATACAGCTGCACGCTGTAGAGCTGCTTGAATGAAACTTGTCCACTCCGCTTGAGCGGCATCTATTCCAGACTCATCATCTATAATCGGGATATCGGGAAACTCTCTAAGGAGCAACTTGTACAGGTCCCAATCAATGCGTTTCCTTGGAGGAGTTGCCTCCTCAGAAGTTTGCTCATTGCCCACATCCATGACAACAGGTAGATGGTCACTAGAGATATCATACAAGATTCGAGAAGAGATACTGTATCTACAGTTTTTAGATATCGCGAAATCGATGACATCTGGTGCCTGAAGATGGTTGAATGGATGATGTGTCGGCTCTTCAGTGCTATGTATAAGGTACCCATTTCGCATCACATGGTTGTACAATCGAACCCCACTAGTGGAATTCAACCTAGAATTCCATGCTCGATGTTTGCAGTTGAAGTCCCCTACCACAATAAGCGGACCCGAGTAGTCCAAAAGGACCTCCAGATCCACTTCTTGTAGCCTGGCACCACACCTGACATACACCGATGTGATCTTCAACGAGACACCTCCCGCCATATTGACCACCACAGAAGCTGCTTCGATGCTATGCATCTCCGCATTAGTGCTTCTATAATAGTCTATACCGCGTTTAATCAACACTGCTAAACCGCCGCCTCGACCATTCAACCTGTCACCTCGGATAACATCATAATTCGGGAGAGCTAAACGATCTCCCGGATTAAGCAACGTTTCCTGCAGCAAGGCTACATCTATACCTTCATCCAAAAGAGCTTGATGAAATTCCCGTTTTTTGGGAATATCCCTCATGCCCAAACAATTCCAAAAAAGAATTTTGATGAATGCAGGCTGTCTACTGTTGTACCTAGACATTTACAGGAAATATCGCCTGCAACGCTTGGGTAGCGCTAATCAGTGGGCTTATTATTTGTTGTAAGGACCTTAGCGCGGTTGCCAGGTCCACATTTTGCGTGCTCAAGGGAGGTTGGGCAGAGGGGGCAGGCATGGTTGCCTCCCGAGCTGCGTCCGCGTATGATATATTGCGCCTTTGCGCTATAACTTGCAAGTTCCTCCTTGGAGTGAACTTGCAAGTCCGGCTATTTGCGGGATCTCCCTCTCCACAGTTCGCGCACTTGCGTTCTTCCTCTTCTGTGAGGGGGCACAAATGCGTCATGTGGTCATATGACTGCGCGTGCCCATACTTTTGGCAGCGGTGACACTGCCCAATGAGTCTGGAGTTCTTCTGAACCTCAACTCGAATGGCCAGTCCCAGCAGTTCGTGTTTGTTGAACACTTGCTGAGACTTTTCAGTCTTGGGCAGTATCACGACCACCAAAGGCATGGGCGCACATCGAATGATGTGAAGAGGGCTCTATTCCCTCTGCTCCAGTTCTCCCTTAATCTCAGTATCCGAAAAGTTGACGGGAAGTCCTCGAACCACCGCATGGATGTTCCGTTCCGAAGGGAGAGGAAAAGTGTGATGGGGCACTTCTTCCTCTCGGAATAGGCCAACGATCTTACGGTAGTCGTCCTCGGATTTAGGAATAATCCTTATTCCCGCATCGACGGCAACCGCGCGATCTATTTTAATACCTAGGGAAATAAACTTGAAATTTAAAGTACGCCATCTCGTCCCGTCGCGTAAGACGATCGGGGTTATGCGCCCTTGTCGTGAGGGTTGTGTTGATGCCACGACGGTTGGACGAGATGACGGAGGAGGAGTAACATCGGCTGACGGTGTCACCTGACGGTGTCACCTGACAGGTAGATAACGTGGTCCCTGGCTTGGTAATAGAAGTATTAATAGTGTTTCGATTTGATGAATTGGGGGAGGTGTGAAATAGAATTGATCCTGTATTCGGAAGAGGAGGAAAGTCTTGGGTTGATCGATCAGCCTTGTCGCCTTTCATCCTTCTTGATTTTGCTTTTACAAATCCTTCAGTCTGTACGTCTTCGTCTGTGGATGTGAGACGATCATCAGTAACGTTTAACAGTGGTCTTTTTAGGGTCTTTGTCCGTTCTTACGGGATTCTTTTGAGTTTAGTAATATGGTTACCTGGGCGGTAAGGCTGTCAATTTTGGCTGTCTGGTCCTTGATGGTCTCCATTAGGTCTCGAATCTGCCTCGTCTGGTCGTCTATAATCAGCATCAGTTTTTCGATCGTTTTCTGCTCCGATGACATCTGCGTCAGTGAGCTCATGTTTTCTGCTTCTGCTTGGTTTCCGCCACCGCTCAGCTCTTTCCTCATAGTATGTGGAACTGGGTCGTCTGTTGATCCTCCTGGGTCAACTTCCATCTTTTAAAAACTTTTTCTCGGCAACAAATCTCAGAAAACTTATAGCTCGCAAATGTGACAATATTGTCAAAACCGTTTTTACAGAGCGTTCATGTATGGCAGAGGTATTATTGTCACATTCTAAGGACGAATAGCGTAAAAAATTTTGGAGGACAAGTTTTACCACTGCTCGTACGTTCAAAAAATGGCATCAAGTAGGTTGACTCTGTAATCTCACGCAACGCTCATCAGTTGGTAAAGGATTATATTCGGAACAAGTTATCCCTTCTGAAAAGAGCTAGCTACGAGCATGTATAACAAAAAAGTATATGGATAAAACACTCAAACAGGGTCATACAATTAAAATTTGCATGTTTAACATGGTTTTGTATATAATTTTGGGGCTTTCTAGGATCCGCAAATTGAGAGATACTCTCCCCCATCTCTACCACCAGTTTTTCAAAAAAAGAAGTATGAGCGGTTAAATTTGTTTTCGTTTTTGCCCTTTTTTTCTGCTGCTACTGGACCGATTTTCAAGAACAAAGCTTTTTCGTCCTTGGCGTAGTAGTAACCTTATGTAAAAATTTCTTTCAAATCCGAGCGGTGCTTTCCAAGTTATAGACGTACAAAGGATTAGCGGACAGACAAGCAGACAGACCGACAGACCGAAGTCGTATAACACCCTAAGATCATATCTCATTTTCAAAATGTTTCGCGATTACAATACTTCCTCGCCAGTAGGCGTGAGAGGTAAAAGTGGACGAACTCAGAATATATTTTTTGTCGTGCAAACATTGGTATGTCGTCTAAATAAAAATTTTACATCGTACCATACTTTTGTCTTAGAACATTAGATTCTAGGAAAATAATGATTTGGAAATTTGTTTTTGGCAGGATTATGTGTGGCAGACCTTCCCCTGGAAATTCCACAAATTCCTAAGTTAGGAGATTTTGAGGCAGTAAAAGAAAGATGTGAGAAGAAAGCAGGTGCAGGCACATACGAAAAGTTGGAGGTAGGTTTAATTTTCATATATTTTGGATCAAATTTTTAGATATTCGTAGCCCCTGTGAATCCTAGTGTCAAATTCACGTCAGATTCGAAACCTGCGCCAGGACATTGTCAATTTATTCTCATACAAAAACTCAAAACATTAATAGGACAACATTTAAATTTTCGTGTAACGTTCTTTTGAGGTATAGCAGTCATTTAGGACCAGTAGTGAGTCCTAGCGTCAAATTAATGTCAGGTTCGGAATCTACGCACCCTATTTACCCAAGGAGTGGAACTAAACGAAATCACAGATTTACAAAATTCTACCATAGCCAACCACAAAACTTAATTGGATTCCCTGGACAAAAATTCGGCTGAATTCAATGAACATTAAAACATCATGTCTCCTAGGATGAATTTGTCGTGGAAAATGGGTGGATTCCTTACTAAAAAGTGAAGCGTTTGCGTGAATTTCTCTCATGCTGGATTTCACCAGTTGAATATACAGGGTGTTTCAGAAACACGTGCCAATATTTATGGGGTAGAAAGTACATCCAAAAATAAATATGGGTCCAAACATGCTCTCCTACCGAGATACAGGGTGACAAAGTTTTATTTACGAAAATGAAAAAAGTTATATCTAGATACTGAGTTAAGATTTTAGACGTGCAGTGATCACATAAGCTAAACACACTGAGTTTCCTGGCAAAAACTAAACCGGGTACCTTCGCAGAAAAGAAGTGCATTTTATAAAATAACATTAAATTTTCCATAAATTTTTATTTCTTAACGAATCTTTGTCAGATCACTCGTTTTAGATATATTTAGGTTTGAATATTTGAGGTAAAATCCTAAAATATGTATTATTATGGAAAGGTTTAGCCTCCCCTATTCTGAAAACACCGTAAATTTTGATATTGGAAAGACTATATGGCATGTGAAGAAAGCTCATTACAACATTAATTGAATAATACGTGTGTCTAATCAGTAGCAGAGAATCTTACCATTCATTAAATCTTTTCTGTGCACGCTACTAGTTTTGTCGGTATAGTCATTTTTGTTTATAGATAGAGGAACTTCAAAATGAAAAAACATTACATTTGATACATGTATAAGGACATTGGTAACAAAAAATAATGCCAAATAAATGTTGTAACATACAACCTAAAGGAGGTGTTGAAAGTGACCTCTGGATTCTATATAAGCCCGTGCTCTACGCCGCAAATACTCTTACTCCTTGGAGAATACCTGGCGTAGTACGAGAAGTGCTGAAAGCCTTCTGTATAGTTCGTGCTCATACATCGTGTCCGAGGTTTCTAACTATTTGTGATATTTTCTTTGTTGAGCTCACTTAATATGGCTAAAGAATTTTAAGAAAAAAGTGCCGCTAATTTCGGAAGTAAAATAATAAGAATAAGAGTACATTGAATGGTTCCACAATTACTAGTTGTGATTTTAGGAATTAATGAATGGTAAGCTTCTACGCTACTGATTGAGGATAAGACACGAATATTATTCAATGAATGTTGTAACGAGGTGCCTTAGTTCTCTGCACATGCCATATAGTGTTTCCAATATCAAGCTTCATGGTGCTTTCAGGATTTTACCTCAAACATTCAAACCCAAATATGTTTTAAACGAGTGATCTAACAAAAATTCCTTAAGGAACAAAATTATGAAAAAATCAATGAAGTTTTATAAACTGCACTTCTTTTCCCCAGAAAGACGTAGAAAATATTTCCTATTAGGGGTCCATGTACCCCAGTTTCTGCATCCCAGATTTATTTTGGGCCAGGAGATTCTGTGTGAATATTGCTAATGATGGGCTCACTGAACGTCTAGAATTCTAACTCCGTAGACATAACTTTATACAATATACAGGGTGTCCACAAAGTTAGGGTTTTCCTTTACACGACGTGTAGATCTTGAAAACATAAGCAATTTTTCTTAGTAGATACCATATACACCAATGTCTTAAGGGAACCGAGATAAAGGGCTCTGCAACATCAAAAATATCTGAATACCGTCCTGTAGCCGCGACATCGCCGACTGGTACAAGGTCACTGGCTCAACCCGACGAAAGAACTGGGTCGGGGTCAGTGTGTCAGGTCAGTATGCAACCTTCAACCGACGGTTACGGTCACGCATGTAGAGGTAATCGCGTAGACGAGAATCCCTCAACAAGCAATAGAGACGTGGCTAGAGAAGTGCAAGCATCAAAAACTAAAGTGTGGAAAACGCTGCGTGAAGATCCGTTTCACGCCCAACGTGTACAAGCCCTTCAACCTGACGATTTTCCAGCAAGAGTGCGGTTTTGTGAGTGGTTGTTGCATCAACATGACAATAATACGGACTTTTTGAAGTGCATATTGGTGACAAACGAATCTACGTTCACGCGTAATGGGGTGAATAACTTTCGCAACACTCATGTTTGGTCAGTAGAAAATCCGCACGCTGTCCGTGGGGCACATTTTCAACAAACATTTTCGGTGAATGTTTGGGCTGGCATGGTGAACGGTATGCTCATTGGACCATTTATTCTCCCAAATCGATTGGACGGGATGCAATACCTAGACTTTTTACGCAACATTTTGCCTTCCTTGTTAGAAGATGTGCCATTAAGTGTAAGACAATCAATGTGGTTTCTGCGTCTGCTCGGTAGCGCTTCAGTTGATTTCATTTTCTGTTGGAGCGGTATGATTTCGGGCAGAGACGTACTTAGCCCTTCTCGTCAACTGGAGAGTGAGTACTTTTTCCTTTATTTTTTTTTACTTGGTCGCCCTCGTTTCACTACACATTACCTTTGTTATTTCAAGGGTAGTTGTTTCTGAAAAGAAAAACCCCAACTTTGCGGACACCCTGTATATTCAAAAAAGTGTGCAATATTCTACCAGCGGTTTCTAGAGCTAAAAATAGGAAGAAAAGTTTATATAAACATAGGTCGACAAACGTCCCCTAAGGGCGCTACGGTCTTTTAAAGTGGCTCCCCTGAAGATGGTTTTCCTTAACATTTCCGAAACGTGTTGAGATAAAGACATAAAATTTGGAATGCCAGCCTAGTTTTTTATGCTGGATTTAAAAATATTAACAATTTTAGACAGTTTTGTTTGGAAGCGTATATAACAGGAACGGACTCAGGTTATTTGAGCCCCAAAATTTTTGTGTGATTCTATTTTTGAAATTCAATTTTAGAATTTGAAAACTTGGGTTTTCTACATAAAAAGGTACTCTTATTGAATATCGATAAATTGTGCCATTTTTGAATAAAATCAAACTAAAAAATTTGTCACATGATAGGAAATGTACTGCGAATTTAAATGAATTGTTGATTATACATAGTTGGCCATTACTGCAAAAAAAATTATGAATACCTATTTGATAGTTATCCAAAAAATAATAATTTTAGCTAGGAAGAATGACAAGAATGCAAGGATTATGTCCTTATCATTTTAAACGGGTGCAGCATTTAACGGAGGCAGATTTTTACTACGAATCGAGTTTTGCCAGTGGATATTAGCAAATGAAAACAGTATTCCTAGAATATTATGGTCGGATGAGTCACTATTTACTAGGAATGGTGCTTTTAATTTCCATAACATACTGGTCAGATGAAAATCCGAAAGTTGTTCGCCGTACAAATTTCCAACATAGATTTTCATTGAACTTATGGGCAGAAGTAATTGGGGATCAAGTAATTGGGCCTATTGTGCTTGCCAATCGTCTTAATTCAGAGGTCTATCTATCTGAACTTTCTTCAGAACGAGCTCATGGATATAATGCCATTAGATATGCGCCAGCAGTTTCAAGAAAATATGTTTTTTCAACATGATGGCGCCCCTGTACATTTTGGACGCAATGTTCGAAATTGGTTGAATGTCAATTTTCCAGACAGGTAGTTAGGCCGATGAGGTCCTATAGCGTGGCCGCCACGTTCACCTGACCTAAATCCATTGGATTTCTATTTTTGGGGGTCATTAAAAGACCTAGTTGACTCGACTGAAGTAAATACTCAAGAAGATTTACTTCAAAGAAACCATCAGGCTACAAATGAAATAAGAAGAAAAAGGCTTTCCACTTTTCGGGCTACGCAATCATTAGTTCGTCGAGCGAGACTCTGTATCCAACAAAATGGGAATTTATTTGAACACTTATTGTAAAGCTAGTTTTAAGTATATCCAACTGCATGTCTTCTTTTTTAAACAAATTTCAATTTCGTTCGTAGAAAAAATTTATTTCTTTTGTTTTTGCCTAAATGTTAGTTGTGTTGCAATAGAAATATGTATTTATGTAATATTCACCAATTATTAAATTATTTTTTTCGTTGCCAATTATATATTAATTATTCAACAATTCATTTAAATTCGCAGTACATTTCCTAAAATTGGGGCTCAAATAACCTGAGTCCGTCCCTGTTACATACGCTTCCAAACAAAACTGTCTAAAACTGTTAATACTTTTAAATCCAGCATAAAAAACTAGGCTGTAATACCAAATTTTATCTCCTCACGTTTTAGAAATATTAAGGAAAAACGATCTTCAGGGGAGCCCCTAGACCGTAGCGCCCTTAGGGGGGACGTTTGTCGACCTATGTTTATATAAACTTTTCTTCCTATTTTAAGCTCTAGAAACCGCTGGTAGAATATTGCACACTTTTTTCGGGACACCCTGTATATAGGAACTTTTTTTAGTTAGATGCACTTTTTCTACCCTAGAAATATTGGCACGTCTTTCTGAAACACCCTGTATTGATGCGTTTGAAGACATTATTTCATTACATGAACGAATTGACATATCTTCCATACAGAAAGCCATCGAGGAAACGAAGACATGCATCAAAGAGCTAGTGAACGTAGAAAAAGTGAAAGAAGAAGTAGAAGAAGCTAAGAAGACTGGCTCAATGGACGAAGTGTTCGGCAGGTACTGCAAGAAGAGGCCAGAGCTGCGCGAGTGTTTCATGAAAACCTACAACGCTGCTGAGCCATGTTTGGAAGAAATTGAAAGGCAGGCGGTCAACACTACGGAACATATACTCAACCAGATTGGTGATTTTGTTTGTTTCAAGGATGGCGACAGAATTGCCAGTAAGTTATTTCAAATTAATCAGCAGTCTGAATCGACAACCCTTTGTTGCGCGGTATAATGGACTTTTGGATAGTGTATTGGAGAGGACGTTCCTAAAGTTCGTACACTGAAAGAGAACTCAAATCTAATGTTTTTCTGAGTACTGCTAGAATGTGACCATATCTACAAACTAGTAATATAGCTTTCGTTTGTTCGATCACAGACAGCCAGCCCTGCACAATCGTTTTCTAGTGTTGTGCGACCTCCTTTATTTTCATAGTTTTCTACTGTTTCGTGTCAGCGCTCTATTTTGAGGTTATGTCACATATATCTATTTGCATCAAATTGATCATGCTTTTGATTTATATTATCTGTAATATCAGCCTGAAATTTCCTACAATTCAAAAAACATACCCTCACAATAAAAGAACTTTGAAGCTGACACAGAACAATAGAAATCTAGAAATCCCCAGCCTTTCGGAAGGAGAAAAAGACTATGAAAATCAAGGAGGCCATATAGGCGTCCTACGACTGGCGATACGGCCCTAAATGATTATAACTTTATTGATCATATAAATCGTATTTAGCATGTTTCATGTTGAACTGCCAATGTCAGAGAATCAGGTTATTTTGCTCACATAAGGAAATTTAACATCCATCAGAGATAAACCCTTCTTGACATCCATAGTAGAAGTAGGGTTATATTCTATGGGCCGGTTATAAAAAAACGTTACCTTGGAGAATAAGTTTTACCGCTTTTCGTTTATAGAAGAATGTAAAACACTCTTAGAGGCGAATAAAAAATGTATATATAACATATCCCATCGCCAGGTATAAATATTAATAAACAGCATAATAAATTACTCTTGCAGTGTTCGTAGCAGAAGGTGGTGTAGAATGTTTGAAATCTCGAACAGACGCAATCAAAAACTGCGTCAACGACACTGTGAAGTTCAACCCATCATCACTAGGAAACTCAATTCCAAATCTATCTATGGACCAGAAAAAATGCGAGTAAGTACCTGCCTGAAGGCCACAATTTCAAACATAGTATATCATTTTCTGATTATCAGTCCAACGTTCTGTCGTTTTGTTACATGTTGTACAGTGCTAAAAACGTCAAGGTTTTGACTATATAAGGACGCATTCTTCGATGTTATACGGACGCTAAGTAAGCGTCGCACTGCAAGGGATGTATCTATGGATGTGTCATTTGGATAACGAATATCATGACGCTGTCGCTTGAGATCATGGCCACCTCGTTAGGCTCCTCGTCCACGACCGTTCCATCATGCTAAATTGAATGCAACCATAGGGCCGGACGCAGACAGATTGAAACATTTGACTTTCAGAGTCGCATAGAAACCACCACATGTGCAAAGTTGTTATTGGTCTTAACTTACTGTCAGTAACAGTGATGTCACGAAGGGCCAGCTCGTGACGTCATCATTTATCAGCTGTTACAAACCGCGTTGCTTAAAATGAAAGATTTAAAACCAAACACGACCGGTTATGATTGATAGATCGCTTAAAATTGCTTAAAGTAACGCCATTTAGTCAAAGGAGGCGCAAACCACGTTAAAAGTACGAAAGGTCTAAAATAAGCTTTTGTGTGGCCACTGTGCCTTTCAAAACCAAATCTATTACTCAGCAGGATTTGTGAAGGCAATGACGCTATTTACTAAGAAATATCTATTTCTAAATTAACTACACATAAATAAAACATTACAGCAAGTGGAAGCAATCAATATCAATTACCTATCATACAGTGCCTCATGGCCATGTCAAAAAGCAGAATATACGAGCTTGAAAAAGTAGCTACAATTGCCACTCATCTACAACGTCAAAGAAGACAAATTTGATTAATCATTTCTAATAATAATAATAAACCTGTTTCAGTGATATGAAGAAAATCCAAGAATGTATCGTGAAGGACTTGGAAACAGGCTGTGATGACAGCACCCCAGCCAATGTAGTAGACGCACTCTTCAGGTTCGTCAAGAAGATTGCTTGCAAAGATATTAAGAAGAGAAGTGTCAGAAGTGTCATTGATTACTTCCTCTAATATTATCCAAACTTGTATCTTAGTTAAATGAATTTACATCTATTTTTTAATTGCATAGAAAACCCATCACATAATTCCGAGACATTTGTTTGTAGATATCCCGAAATTTTATTTTTTGATATCCTGTCAGTGATGTATTGAAGAGACAATAAATGATTTACAAAAAACAATATATACCATAACTATCTAAAACTGTAATGACTCATCAATGTTCACGTGAACATCACTCAACCACCGGTAGTCTGGTTGTCAGTGGCGGGGTATGAATTTTTAATGTGGGTGAACTTGATTTCTTTTATAAGTTTAATAAAAAAAAATGGTTTGAAGGACGTTATAGATCAGAAATTTGGAGATTACCTTTGACAGTTTTTTTCTGATTATCCATGAGCTAATTGAGTCTACCTCTCTTCATTCGTCGTCGCTTCCACTTCCATCTGAGAGTAATAAGCTGCCGCTATCGTTTTCTTCGCCAAGATTGGCTATAACTGACTCCATCATGGTGTCGATGTTGTAGTCAAGCTGCCACATTTTTATTTCTTCCTTCACAACATGACTGACAGCATTCTGAAACGCTTCAGGCGTTACTAGCTGTATGGAATTCTCTAGCAATATAACCCTTCACTTGAGCCCAGATGAACTTTATTGGGTTCAGTTCATATTGGTAGAACGGTAAACGCAGCACAGTGACGGGCCATCTCATCAATCACGTACCTAACTAATGTTCGCAGCTTTGTGATGTTTAAATTTTTCGTACAGTTCCGCTTTCACACATGAATCGTCAAACGGAATGCCCTTTTCACGCAACCATTGCTAAATCTCGCTTTTTCGAGACCCGATATTTATTTGGTACACGATCCGCTCGACCACAGTGGTAGGAAGCATTAACCATGACGATCACATGGGTTCAACTCGTTGAAGCACCGCTTGATACCAGCTCTCTAAGCAGCTGGCATTCATTTCGTCATGGTAATCACCTCCTTTCTTAGTCAAGTTGCATCCTTTACAAAAGCCAATATCGCTGCCAATATGTGTAACGATCAATCTTTGACTTTTCCCTGACGGTGCACCAAGACCTGTTGACAAACCTTCAATGCTTGCATTTCGGTTATTTAGTATATTTTTGTCTATACAGGTTTTTTTAACTACGACCTGCATTTACAACGACTCGTCCAAATAATATATTTTCTGCTTTATCGTCTATATTCAGTTCATGCGCGTTGGTATTTTCGACGCCACGAACTATTTCAGGTTTCTCTATCAATCCTGACTTACGATTACGCGTCTCGTAACGAAATTAAGTTCGAGCAGGTTTTTCCTTAATACTTCGACGCTTATTGGGGGTATAATGTCATTACTCTTGATCTTTGCACGTATAGTCTTGAGGGTTGGAATCTCATTGCTAATAAAGAAGGAATGTACGGTTCGTCTTAACGCCATTATGCTGTCGCCATTCAGTTTAATGGAATGCCGTCCCTTCAAATTGAACTTTGGTCCACTCCGGGACGCCTGTCATGCTTACGCGTAAGGGCGTAAGTGCATCTCCCTGCGACATAGTCTTTTCAAATAGTTGAACACGTTGAGCACGATTTCTTTCGCGTCCTTTTTCAGTGCCTTACGAAGCTTTGTACTTGTTCCCTGGCTTCTAGTACTTCCACTCCCAGTCTCACCCTCCATGGTTAAGGAAATATAAGTATAACCCAAATAAGAACAACAGAAATAACCAAATAACAATTCTTCGAACAACAAACAATATCACGCGGTAACTACACTCTCAGCGAAACAAGTTCCAAGCACTACTAGTCTACGCCAATGTATCAGGCCTTGTAGCGTGGAAGCGTTATCTTATCTCAGGACCGGAATCCGTTTTCATTCTTCATTTCAGTTTAATTATGGTAATATTCATGCACGTTCCTTACTCTTAGCGTGTTGGTTGATTGAGCAGTGGCGGCTCTACCATAAGGCCGCATGGCCGCGCGCCCCCCCCAGATAAAATGCCGTTAAAAAAGCATTGAATAAAACCATTTTTATTTTTTTTTCTAATTAGCTAACATTTTATTGAACATATTATATATTAAACGTCACCCTAATTATTTTGTAAGAAATCAGTCGATTTTATCCTTATTAGCCCGGACTATACGGGCCGCATCGAACCTCGCGGCCGTACGTCGGTGTTTTCGAGTGCTTTCGATACGACTCGGTTAGAGTCGGGGTACAGTATTAATAGCTATGCTAGGGCGCATTATTTTTGCGGCCTCGCTGCGTCTCGCATAGCTAGCTCCATTTGTTGTTTACTATTGAATACTGATTACGCGCTGCATTTTTAGTGTCGGGTTTTGTTTTATTGCAGAATAAAGTAGCAAATGACAATGAATAGTGTCAGTAACATTTTAAAAAATGATTTTACGCGTCTGTCCCTTCAGAATAAATTAGAAATTAAGCAATTGGGCAGACCTTTGCCGGATTTAAAGTTAACGCAAGTGAGTGAACGGAAGGCAGAAAAAAGAAGTTTTACCCGTCATTTTTCTAAAGATACATATAAAAAAAATAATTGGATATGTGGATGTGAGGAGACAAATTTATTGTACTGTTTCCCCTGTTTATTATTTTATAATGCCGCGTCAGGTATGGACTCTAGTTGGTCAAGGACGGGAATCAAAGACCTGCATCATCTTCCTGAAAAGATTAGAAAGCATGAAGCTTCCCGAGGACACATTAATTCGTGCACGGCGCTTGCAGTTCTTGGTAAGACAAATATAGCATCACAAATAAGTTCTGCTTATAGACAAAGTATAGTTGAACATAATGAAAAAGTGAGAAAAAATCGGCACATTTTGAAACGGATTATAAGCTGTGTCAAATTTTGCAGTGCCTTTGAATTGGCACTTAGAGGTCACAATGAGACTGAAGAGTCTTTGAATCGAGGAATATTTAGAGAATTAGTTGATTTTACCGCTGAGTTAGATGAGGCACTTAAAAATCATTTACAAAATGCCACGGTATTCAAGGGAACTTCTAAAAGCATTCAAAATGACATATTAGATAGCATGCTACAAGTTTGTAGAGAAGAAATTTTGCAGCAAATTAAAAACGCAAATTTCCTGTCAATTCAATGCGATGAAACGACCGACATATCAAATCAGTGCCAAATGGTTTTAATATTCAGATATTTCCACGAAGGCGGCATACAAGAACTTTTTTGGAGTTTTTTGAGAGTTAAAGATAAGACATCAGTAGGTTTAAAAACTTACATAGAAAATGAAATTGATCCGTTTCTTTTACAAAGTCCTGAAAAGTTGATAGCACAAACATATGATGGTGCGAATGTCATGAGTGGTTCTGTCGGTGGGGTTCAAGTTCACATTAAAGAAAAATATCCTAATGCACATTTCATACATTGTTATGCCCATCAGCTAAACCTTATTATGCAAAAAAGTGCATCACAAAATTCAAAAGTACGTGTGTTTTTTAATAATTTGTCGGCCATACCAGCTTTTTTTTCGAACTCTACCCATCGATGTGATGTTTTAGAAGAAATTATAAATAAGAAAATCCCCAGAGTAGCTGCTACTAGATGGAACTATAACATTCGTACAGTTAACTTTGTCTATGAACATCGTGAGAAGCTCATAGAGGTGTTTGAAGAAATAGAAGAGAGATGTAATAGAGGTGTTACTTTAAATGAAGCTTCAAGTTTGAGAAGAGCGTTAGAAGATCAAGAATTCTTGTTTTGGTTGACAGTATTCCATAAAATATTTCCGCATGTTGACATCCTTTATAACCAGCTGCAGTCAAGAAATCAAGATAGTGTTCAATTACAAAAGGACTTAGTAATTTTTGAAAAGAGTATCGACAATATAAGAGGTCAAATTGATGATATTAAAAAATATACCGAAACAAAGTTTGAATCTAATAAAAGAAGAAGAACTGACGACGGTATACGAGGGGTCATTGCCAAAGAAGTGTGTGACATAATAACAATGCAAGTAAAAGATAGATTTTCCTTTCGAGGTCATTTACAGGCAGCCGAATTGTTCAATACAGAGGCATATTTGAAATATTCCCGAAATTTCCCTTCTGCTATTTTGGATGCCGTAGCTACTTTTTATCCAATGTTGTGTAAAGCCAGACTGAAAACGGAATTAGAAGTTATATACTCCAGGGAAGACTTAAAGGAAATCGTTGGTGCTATGAATTTATTGTCTTTTCTTGTTAGGAACAATCTTTGCGATACATTTGTGGAAGTTATAAAATTGTTAAAAATCATTGTGACAACCCCAGTGACCACAGCAGAATCAGAACGTTGTTTTTCAACTCTTAAACGAATAAAGACATTTTTAAGAAACAGTATGCGAAATGATCGACTAAATGCTCTAGCTATGTTGTCAATAAACAGAAACTTGACTCATGAAATAGATAGTTTTGATGAAAAAGTTATGGAAAAATTTATATCTCTAAAAGATCGTAGAGCCGATTTTGTTTTTAAACAATGATTGTTTTTAAATTTACTGTATTATAAACAGAAGCTTATTTTGTGTTATGTGCATGTATTATCATTTCTTTCATCTTTGCTGTTTTTTTTAAGGTAAGATATTTTAATGCATTGTATTATGTTACAAGCATAATATTAGTATTTTTATATTTTGCCATTTCAGTATTATGTATATTTATGACGCTAGCTCTAAACGACTAACAGTTGATTTTTTGATTTGAAGCGTTTTATGTCAATAAAATATTGCAAAATTGCATGTAAAATTTTTTGAATTAGATTTTGCGCCCCCCAAACTCAAATACCACGAGCCGCCACTGTGATTGAGACTGGTTTTAATGTTTTATCACAAGTAGACGAGTTCATCAGTGGAAAAACAAAACGTTAAGATTTTTAAGGGCACAAAATCATCTTGAATTACAAAAAGTTGTAAAACGTAAAATATCAATGCAAATGAGATATTTCCCAAAAAATGCCGACTACAATTTTCTCGGTATAATAAGTATAACTTGGCGAATTTTCACGGGATTTGGTGTCCCATGACGATCGGAAAAACTTACTTGAAGGAAAAAAATTTAAAATCATCCGAGCGAGGTGGAATGAAAGCCCAAAGCTCAACCGCTTGAGCAAACCAAGCCATTTGACATCCGTTCCGAAAAAGGCAAGGACCTAAGAAGGCAACCAGGACGATTGAAAATGACTATTTTCTCACGAAAAGCGTTATTGTGGCTTGTTTATAATAGATCGCTATATGCTTCGCTGATTCTTTAATTCTTTTGAAGACCCGTAGTTGCATTTTTATGTATGATCTACCATTTAGACAGCGTAGGCAGTTAAAGTAGGATGGTCCAGATTTTTAAATATTTTATTTATTCGAGCAGATCGCCATATGGAAACAAGTCCAAAAATGCATAAACCGTTTCATTCAAGATTATTATAACAAATGAATGAGATCTTTTTAGCATAATATTAAAATTAAGATTCTAATAAAGAAATGAATCCAAACGGTAGGCCCATATTTTCCCAATTTTTAATTATTAACATTTAAGTTTGTCAAGATGATTGTGGGACATTTTGGTACGCGGTTGGTGGTCAGTTCTGATCACGCGTATGAGTCATTACAGTTTTAGATAGTTACAGTGTTTTAGTTCCGAAGACACATTTTTTGTATGTTGCCATGATTATTATAGAATGGCACAATTTAGTGTTAACATTCACACTGATTTACACACCTAAGGTAATCGTGTTTTGCAATATAAATTGCAAAAAAGTGTAGTTGTAAGAAACGCGCACACAATCACACCACGCCACAATTAAAGCATAGCAATGAATTCCATGTTTTATTGAATAAGTAAAAAACAACAATATCAAAAAATATTAAAACATTGTTTGTGGCAAAAAGAACTTAAAAAGGTTCTTCTGTATGACTTGTGGCCTAATAAGAAACTTTCTATCACATTTAAAATGAATTATCATTAGAATTCGCAATATTTTCCTTATTGACATCTCCATCTCCTTTCAAATATTGTTTATAAAATCCGTCTTTATTTTTATTCTTCTTATTTGGTGATTTATTTCCTTGGTCTCTTTCTCTCGCTTTCGCTTGATCAACAGCGTTTTCTTTGCTTTTCTGTTTATATTTTTCTTCTACTTTTCCATCAATTTTTTTCGGCCATGGCTTTTTCTGATTTTTCTCGCCCCTATGGTTAGGCCGGTTCTCTAGCGCTGGCCTCTGTCTAAGGATAGAAAAAGAAGATCAAGCTAATATTTACTAATTTATTGATCCTATCAGGGTTATTGCAGATGTATAAAATTTATCGTTTCTATGACTAACTGGATTATCATCTGTTTACCTAACAAGACTTCTAGGTTTCATTTGTCAAGCAATAGATGATGTTGCTTAAACATAGGCCGTAATTACAAGCGCGCATTCCGGAACCACAGAGTAGAAAAGTTCATATAAACATGTGTTTTAAATATTCTGGTTGTCAAGATATACGATGTCAAATTTTCAACAAAAATTTGGTTTCATGAATATCTCGAGGATACTTATGCCGATTATGTTGAATTTTTGAATTATAGCTCATTTCAATAAGACGTTAGGTTAGAACTAACTAAAAGATAATTATGAATTCCAGTGGCGTCCCGGAATAAACTCTCACGAATGATATTGACAAAAAAATGCTTCTTAGAGTATTCGAGTGGACTGTATAGCAGGCTGGTTGAAGAAATGAAATGCGGGTTGTCGCTTACCTTTGATCCGGTATTTTGCTCCTATTCCTTGCGTATCGATTATACAGGAGCGCTCCTGATTATCCAGCGGCGAGCAGATAGCTGGTATGGAAGCGGTTGAACAAGCGGGGGTGCACTTAACGGATAGCAGATAAATTTTTACTTGCGGCTACTGTGGAGGTTAGCTAGTAACTCTGGTACAACTCATATTCGCGAAGAAATGAAGACAACCCTCATATCTGTAACACAGCTTCTAATGATACATTTTTTTGTCTCTTGGTATCTCTTTGTATCGTACTTCGTTCTCGAGGAAAAAATAAAAACAACTTGATTGCATTTCGAAAAATTATTAAAATAAAGTCAAATCAACTTTGATTATTGCTAGAGGTGGTGTTATCTTGTTACCAACGTATTTTTGATTTCCCGTGACAGTTTCTTATCATTTTTCCTCTGTAAAAAACATTTTTTTTTTAATCTTTGACACCCTATATGTTGGAACCCAGACTTATTGAGGCACATGTTAATATGAGCTTTTCTGCTTCAATCTGGTTCAGAAATGGGCCGTTACGATTACGGCATATCATTAAGTAACACCCTGCATAAAGAAGAAGCATACTCAGTTGGTGAAAGTACAGTTTCCGATTCTAGACATCAACTGGCATATGCTCACGCTCACCTCACAAGCAGCGTATATTCAAAATTAATTATTTCAAATGGCACGCATCGTTAGTTATAATACTCCAACTTAGTTAGGTACAGTGGCGACGCGTGATTTTTCCTAAACTGCTACCAAAACCAGATGTGAAAAATCTTATTAAAAAAAGTTTATTTTGAACCTCCCAAATATAGTTTTTGCTTATCTTAGGTATTTTATTTAAACTATTTTTAAATTAAGGTAAACATCTAATCCAAGCCGTCAGAAAAAACAGTCGACGTTTCTAGATGTTCGGAAAATTTTTGATCTTTTTTGGCAATGAATGTTAACAATTCACTGTAATTTCCTCTATTGTCAGAGTCATCCCCTTCAAAATGAACGGTAATTCCTGTTTTGCCAAAAAACATACGGTATCTAGAAGTGTGCTGCCTAAAAGCTTGGTTAAGACAACTTTCGATTCTTGTTTTGCCAAACTGAATTAAATTTTTGGCTACACATCTCACATTTAATGGAGAAATTTCATGTCTCCTCTTTAGAGCCGTAAAACTATTTAAATTGTTGACTCCGCTGCTGGTCCACCCATTTTTTCTGTATAAAACAGATGACATCGCCAACAATACAATCTGTTTTTTTGCAACCACATAACCAAGAGTTTCCATATACCAACTTAATTTAAAATATCAAACTACGTTTTTTTCATTCCTTTTTAAAATTATCTAAAATAGGTGTTGGTCTTCCATCTTCAATGATCTCCTTTTTTTCTTAAAAATTATAGAAGGAGAATGACTTTTCAAGTAGTTAATCGATTACGCAGCGACACATGCATGTTTAATTGCACGCACACTACAGCCTGTAACCAAAACGGCCAAGAACGAGTGAGAAGCGAGTAACCAAATCAAAAAATGGTAACAAGCCCACATAATAGTCGCAGCGCCCCATCCACTTGGGCGACCGCGATCAGACACGAGCCGGCACCGAAGGTCCCCGACGGACTACCGAGTGTATCCATAAATGAAAATGGTAACAACCGCCAACCAAGTCAGCTTCATCGTGTTCGCAAAACCTAGACACTATATATTATTTACGTGGGGCTAATTTGCTATTTGCTGAATTACTATTACATATCGCTGTTGGTAAACAAATAAATGTAATTATTTCACAGTACTTAGTCATAAAATATTTATTTTTAAGATTTTTAGCTGTTACCAATGGTAACAATGGTTACATGGACGCTTCGCCACTGGTTAGGTAGGAGTCTTCCTCTTCTTCCTCGTATTAACCCGGGAGCGCTCCAAGGAAATGAATGTTAATTGACAAATCGTTCATACTCCATATCAATCCATTCCAGCACAAAAAATATGATTCACATTTTTAAGGGTGTACCGTACCTCATGGATGCTTGGATTAGTAGAGTAAATATTGAACTGAACATACTAAACTGCAGATGCGGTAAGGAAAACCTATTATTGTATGTTACTGCGCAAAGACAAAAGCTCATCATATAAATGGGAGCAGTCATCTCGAAAATACAGTGCGGGAAAAAGTTTAGATGTCTGTTTAGTTAAAAAAGGTACATCAGAGTGTTGGTAATATCAAATATCCTCACATTGTCAAAATCCAAGATAAGGCTACAACCGAAAGATTTCATCTTATACTTATTAGAATTCCATGCGTTTCTTTAATATGATGCATTTGTATCCTATGCTTATCATAGTTATGTGTGAGCGGCATATACAGTGCCCAGTAGGAAAGTTCACTTTTTGATTTAAGAAAAAAAATACAAACTTCATGAAAAGAAAATATTTATTACTATCAACATATTCGTAAATTCTGCGGGTTTTATTTCTTAAATATAATCGCGCGCGCGTAAATTCTGAAACACTCCCTTGCAGAGTTCCGGAGTGATGTTGTTTATTTCTAATCGAATATTGTCTTTAAGCTCCTCCAGTGTTCGTGGAATATTAGAATATACTTTTGACTTTAGATAACCCCACAAAAAATAATCGCATGGCGTGAGGTCGGGTGACCTAGGCCAGTGAATGTCCTCAAACTTCGATATAACTTTTTGAGGAAGAAGTGCTTTCACCGTATTCTTCGATTCTCTGGAAGTATGGACAGTTGCCCCATCCTGTTGAAACCATGTGTTTCTGTTCTTACAATAGGAGCAAAAAAACGTGTCAATCATGTCCTTGTATTGCTCGGAATTGACTGTCAATGCATGACCGTTTTCATCTTCAACGAAATACGGCCCAATTATACCGCTAGAGGATATGGCGCACCAAACGGTCACCTTTGGACTATTTAGCTGTTGTTGATGTTTCTCTTTTGGGTTCGTTGGTGCCCACTATCTGCAATTTTGCTTGTTCACATAACCGTCTGAGTGAAAATGGGCCTCGTTACTGAAAACAACGTTCTCGTGTCTGCGCTGCGTACGAAAAAGATTCAACATCCGTTCAGCACAAGATTTCCATAATACGTAATCACTTTCCTTTAAAGCATCGACTGATTGGATTTTATAAGGATAAAAACCCATTTTTTTTCTTCATTATGCCAAGCAGTGTTGACCTAGGGATTCCCAAAGCAGCGGAATGCTTCCGTACAGAACGCCGAGGATTTGCGATGACTTAACTTACTCGACGTACATTTTCTTCGGCCGATACAGTACGAGTGGGGCCATGAATGAGTTGACTAAGAGTAGAGCCTGTTTCACGGAACCTCTTAATCCACTTTTTCAATAGGTTCTTACTTGGGGCATCTCTTGGTCGGCGAATGTTGTATCGTGTACAAAATTTCCGAAGGGCAGCTGCGTATGAATCACCACTCTTAAAGTAAGCGTCGATAGCAAAAGCACGTTGCGCTCCGGTCCAACGTTCCATTGTGACTATTTAGCCCGCACGCCGAACGCGTCGATCAAGACCTCTCCTCACTTCCTCGCGTATACGGTTGCCGCGTAATTCAAATTTAAAATATGATCTTTCCCACTGGACACCATGTATTTATGCTGCTTTGGATACACTTTTCCATCAGAATTTCTTCAACTCATCCTATATATCTTTAACTATTACATGAATCCAAAGCTGTGACCCTTCAGATGATCCTCGGATTCACAGAACAGTTAAATTAGGTCACAACTTAACATAATATGCAGAAAATTAGCTAAGTAATCAAAACAACACAAAATATCCGGCTTGATCCAGTGATTCTGTCGTTTAAACAAAAAATAAGTCTTATTCAAATGTTGATAATTCATACAATTTCCTGTAGAATAAAGAGTTATGAATTTTTTTTTAATCAATATCTAATCCATCTTGTTCTCAAATCTGCCTGATCACCATAAATTGGCCAAACGTTTGATTAAGGTACAATAGGAATACTACAAATCCATGGAATGGTGTGATCAATTGAGAAACAAGTGTTGGTATATGGTTGGTATCCTCAAATATTACTCAAGCATAACTACAAAATACTGCCACATTAGAAGCCCCAACAGCATACAAACCCATTCCTACCTTTGCCTAGAATCCTCCAAAGCAGCTTTGGATTTCATGCCCTCCAGAAATGCATTGAGTTCCCTTCCAGCTAGTCGACTATCCCCCTTATCTCTGTCACCAAACTCTATGTGGAACAGATGCATAAGTTTGATGCAGAATGACTGATTATTTGTCACTGTCAGTATCACTGCTATTAGTAATATGACAAAAAGGAGTAGTGCTGGGAATATCAACATATTCCAAGGAAATGGCAGTTGAGCTAGAAATAGCAAGGATAGAGTGTTAGTGAAATGGCCCGATTTCATAAAAATAAAAAAAATTAAACTCACTCCACATTTCATTAGCAAATCCCCCAAATGCTGTTCCACATGCTGTTCCTGGTATGACTATAACATGCTTCACTTGTAATAAGAGCACCTCTAAGGGCGATATTACTTTCTTCTCACAGTTTTTGTTACCTTCAAAATTAACAAGAGTTAGTCATGATAGATAATCATAAAAAAATCTTTAGAAAAAGTCTGATTAAATATTGTTTGTTACTGTTCAAGTAAAAGTACTAAATTGTCAGTGGTAGCATTGGATGACTCTAGCTTTTGGAAGTATTTTTACACAAAAAATGGCATTGCCAAGTTTGAGATTACTTTTGCGATGATTTTTTAACATGTCAATCAAAATAATGGAAGACTGCTTTAAATTAACAGACCAAAAGTACTTAATTCCTCTATAAGCAAAAAGTACAACTCATGATTTGAAGATTTACATTTGCACTAAGGCTATAATGAAAAAGGTTTTTAGTCCTTGGAAATTAGCCCAGTAGCACCAAAATGTTGGCAGTACACCAAATAATACCAAGGCTTTGAACTCTTTCACAGCCACAAGGCATATATGGAAAATTTAAGCAATGTAAAATGGTGCTGGCAAAAAGGCAGTGAAAAGTAATACAGTGTACTCTGTCTATACGTACATGGGATATAACGTACTTCCGGTTATTACGTACTTATTTCATTGATATAGCGGCTATACCATAAAATATTTTTTACCCACTTAGTAGTCATATTCTGGTTATAACGTACAAACGTAAGTTATAAACAGAGTAATTCTCCGCCTCTGTCGGGGATTCCCATTAATCGATACTGGGAAGTTTCACCGCTGTCGCGCGTTGGTAAGAATGCCGCCGGCGCGGCACCGGGGATTTCCAGTAATCGACTCTGGGAATTTTTATAGCGCGGAATGACATGTCGGGTAGTTTTAGATTGGACGTTGCATTTAACTGTGCGAGTTTTTAGTATTTATTGTTTTCTTAAAATGACAGATACACGCAAGGTTATAAGTTTGAAAGAAAAGATAGACATCATTAAAAGTATCAAGAGTGGCATCGGCAAATCGGAATCTGCGAGAAGGAAAAATATGGCAAAAACACCAGTTTCTACAATTTGGTGCAAATCAAAATCAAGCAAGCAAGTGAATAGAAATCGCAGAGAACTAAGAAAATTAGAAATCCTGTATGTTCAGATGTGGATCAAGCTCGTATACGATGGTTTGAGACGCGAAGAACCGAAAATATTCTTATAAGTGGTCAAATTTTAAAAGCAAAAGCGATTACACGGTGGCGATTTTAGGTGCACTATGGGTTGGCAAAGTGTCTTGTGAAGCAGGAGATGTTAACAAGGGAAGCTGTGGTGAACTGGTTAACGGATAAATGGCCAGGCATTGCGCAAAATTACAGATATAAGGATATTTTTAAGGCGGACGAAACCGGGCTATTTTACAAGATGACTCCAGACCCTACACTGAAATTTACAGGAGATAAGTGTGTCAGAGGCAAAAAAACAAAGTTGAAATACACCGTTTTGGTTTGCCACATGACAGGTAGTGAAAAATGTAAACTTTTTGTTATTGGTAAATACGAACGACCGAAGTGCATGAAAAATATTAAATAATAGCCTGTCATTTAGAAATCGAACAGACGCGCATGGATGAGTTCAGACATTTTTATTTATTATTTAAAGGAATGGGATGAAAAACTATGACGTCAAAAAAGAAAAATATTGCTTCCAGTTGCCAATTGTGCAGCTCATCCTAAGAATGTAGATCTGACAAATATCAGACTAATAGTTTTGCCTCCCAATTGCACCTCGGTCGTACAACCGATGGATCAAGGCATAATAAAATGTCTTAAAATATATTATCGCTGATATTTTATGTATTGCCTAATCCGAGCATAGTATAATGAGGCAACTTTCAACATAATTTTAGACTTGATAAAATTAATTGGAATGAAGTTTCAAAAAACACTATTGAAAACTGCTTTCAGCATGCTGGTCTAGTGAAATGGATCGATGAGATCGATTCAGATGATGACTTGCCTCTCAATTAGTGGTATGAGAAATAAAAAAGTGTTGATGATGATTGGAACATTCCCTCAGTGATTGGTTTGCGACGTCACTGCCCAGACGTAACTACTGTGGAAAAATATCCTGAACTAGATAATTTGATCTAAGTTCCAATAATGAAAGCAGCGATGATGATGGACAAGTGAACAAACCAATTCCAAGTTATTCTGAAGCACTTTGTGCAATTAAAACTGTCACAAATTTCATACAATTTACTGATTTTGGACCTGATGAGACAATTTTACCAGCCTTGTTAAAATTTGAGAAGCACATAGAGAATATAAAAGTGTGTATAAAAAATCAACAAACAAAAATAACAAGTTATTTTTTCGAAGAAGTATTAACATTCTTTAACTTTGATGATACATATATTGATGTACTCAATTATTCAACTTCTTACTTGAAAAATTGCATGATTCCAACAATAAAGTACATTTTGAACACTGTCAATCCACTATAATGTAGGAATTACTTACCCCCAAGTAACCACTGTTTCCAACTCATCTGACTTGTATCACATTTACTTGTATATTTTATACTCATATTATGTTCTTCAGCCTCCTAAAGAACAAACAAGCATCTTAAATTATTATACAACCACAAACCTGATCAATAAGTGTACCTCTCTCAGTGTTTTATATCTGAAGCCATAGTCTATGATTAAAATCATTAAGCAAAAATAGCAGATCACTTCTCCAACTGTATATTGAGACCTCAACATATTTACAGCCACATATAAACATACAAGTACTCCTACAAGTACTAAAGTATCATGACTCAGCACAAGATGTAAAAACTTTTCTTTTGCAGAAAGTAAAGACTCAAATGCTTCATCTGAAGTACTTTTTGTGAACATACTGCTCAAAATGCCATCTAGTTTTTGTAGATCATCTTGGGTGGCATACTTCCTCTCAGAAAACTTCTTAAGAAACTGATAGTCACTTCCATGTATGTTGAACTTCCCCTTGTTTACGCCTGAATCTTCATCTAATGTAGCAGAGTTCACCATTAAGGCAATCATTCGTTTCAAATATAATAATGAGGTGTCATCAGGTAATTTTTGTTCTGAGCAGTTACACTGATCAACAGTAATGTGAGCTACTTGTTTTTCACCTAATGTTTCCCTCAGTTTTTCTTTAGCGTTGGTGTTCATGTCATGGGGATCAATCCATTGCTTTGAGAAGACTTCTGTTGATGTAAGTACTAAAAATATGGCTGCCCACCTCATTTTTCACTCTTTAGGGGCTAGTTTATATTTTTACTTATAATTCTAATCATGTAATAAATCCAAAACATAAATGGCTTTTCTTCAAGTTTGCATCCTCTTCTCATGTTGTTCTATCACATTCTGATGATCAAGATAACCTATGTCGGGTTCATGCACGACTTATTAGAGAATACTTATATAATAATTTATTTCCGTAATTTGTGTTTGACACATTAATTGGCAGGCATGTCACCGCTATAGAGGTGGGTAACGAACTCGATTCAGTTTCGGTGGTGACGAATCCTTTGGTCACAGCCACAGCCTCCTTTACTGTAAAGCCATGTATAGATATGTAACAACACCGCGAACCGAACCACTCGACGAACCGCAGCGCGCGCATTTTGACGAACAACATTGCAACGAACATCACCACATACCGAACGAAGTCGTGCAACCACATCGCGCAACAAAATGACGATCGAATTTTGATGTTTGTCGTTCAGTGACAGCCGAATGCTAGTGGAAATGGATATAGAAGTAGCAGCAGCTGCCTATATTTATATTCAATTCGCTACGAATTATCCAAAAGCAAGCGACGACGACGTCCGAGACGATGGTGGCAAACCCAATTATATACCAATAGATCAGCACACGGTTGCAACAATTTGATAGCGGAATTGAAATTTCAACAAGTTAGTGTCCGACAGACTTTGAATATCTTCTCACGTTCATTGGACCAAAAATGCGACGACAAGATACAAAATGGAGAGCTGCTACCATCACAGTACAAGAAAGACTTGCAGTCACGGTACGATTTTTACCGACAGGTGATTTATACAGTAGTTAGCAATATGTTTCGAATGTCAAAGCAATCGATCAGCTACATCATTCCAGAAGTTGTGGGACATTGATCGAAGTTTTAAATGAAAATATACAAGTAAGAAAAATAATTATTTTACATTACAAAATAACACACTGGTGCTCGCCGCACCGGTATGTGTGTCCAAACATGTGCAACTTCGTCGCCAGCGATTCCTTTGATGTTGCGCTGAAAAATCGACAGAGCCTGGATCGGGTCCAACGGCGAGCTGTAACGCTAATTAGGTTCACGACGGCGTTCTTTTCACCATCTAAACTAGTGCGGCGAGGTTCGGTTCGCGGTGTTGTTACATATATGTACATGGCTTAAGGCTGTGTGCCACAGACACCGTTCTTGGCGGTTACGTCATCAACGGCATATGAAGTAACTAAGCAGATCGAGTCTCCGTACCATGGCAGGAACACTGCGCAGACTAATTTTCAGCGCATCTGCTCCTCTCTCCGGTATGCATGAAGTGGGTGCCAGGAGACCGCTGTTTTCATTCTCTTCCTGGAAATACACTAATAAATTTAGCACGAGCTGTCGGCCTTCTCCATTGACCGCAATTCCGGGCATTGTACAATTTAGATTAAAGATTGATAACAGGTCAACTCGAATGCACGCCGATGTCAAGTAAGTTACCACTCTGACAAATATGACTGAAGTGCGCTCATACGTAACGACAAAGTTTTCGAGACGGAGACACACAAGTAAAAAACGTATGTCTTTGAGCTTACCGAACAAACGTCCACACACAGGGGTAGGTTGCATGCGTATGTATGAGGGAGATGTAAATATATAAAGGGATACTGGTAGTCTTACTTTGACCCACCAAGAACGATGACAACAACGTACCTATTGATCGAAATCGGCGTGTTACCCTTCTCCCATAACTGTTCTTTTTTATGCTCAGTCTTGAGACATACGACTCTTTTCTCTGAGGTCGCTCATTTCGTTCATCCCTCTTCAGTGAGTCGTTCGTTCGGAGTCGTTCATTTGAACGATAGAATTACCGATCGGCTTCGAAGCTGACGAGAGTATTGTGTTGCCTATAGTAACGACTCACTGAGTCAGAGAATATAGGATCTCGAAACAAAACAATTGGGTTCCCTAGATAGTGTCTGTACTGTTACCAGGTTGTCAGTTCGCAGTTCATTTGCTGCATACTGCAGATACGCTTTGCACAATTGAACGAGCCATTATGTACCAAAAGAGTCGTTCAATCATCGCTCACTTAGATGAGTCGTTCATTTTGAACGACTCGTTCGCGAACGACACATGACTAACTGCTGACAGCCAACTAACAATCAGCTGTTTGCGTCGAGGTTATGTTTGTGGTTGTCGAGATGGATGTCTTCAAACTTGCTTCAAACACAGTTGTGTATTTATTCATACATGTTATTCGTTGATCTATAACAGCTTTAATATTTATCAATGCAAATAAAATATTTAGGACCACCATAAGCAATCAAGAATGAGCAACCATAATTTGAAAATCGTCAACTTCCAGGACTCAGATGTGGTTTCATACTCAATAATAAAAATTCTAGGGAATATTGAAGAGCCCTTTTGTCAAAAAGGAATAAATGAAAATGTATCACTTACATTGAATGACAAAAAATACTCTGCAAATATAAGCAACAAAATATTCAAATTTCTGATTGAGCTACATAGTGGTAAGAATGAAATTCGGATCCATTACTGTTGTGATACCATTCAACTTGATATAAATTATGTTCCAAAAGAGTTGCCAAATACTGTGATACCCCTGTATGTGATATGTGAAGGCCACAGTGGGTGCTTTCAAGCCCCAGCAAATGAAAGAAACAACCCAGAGAGTGCCTGTAAAAGAATAATGCTATGTCTGAAATTGCTACAGTGTGTAACTGCTGAGAAATTGAACGAACATGATTTGGGAAGAAAGACCTTCCTGATTCAAGAAAACTGTAGAATCTTTAAAAGTTCAATAGATTACCTAAAAGCCCAAGAGATGAATCAAATGGAACTGTGGCAAAATATTGGCAAAGATATAATCAGCTCCTTCAGTGGATCAAAGAATAAAAAGTTCTTAGCATTTTTATCATTTACACATTACTATGGTGAGCAATATGTAGATGGTATGAAAACTCATGAAGAGCTTTTAGGGATCACCAAGGGTTATGTAGCTTTAGGTGGGGGTAATTTAGCTTTATTTGGCACAGCATGTCTCTTTACTTGGCCTGAACATTTTGATGATGTGATAAGCAGATTTGAAGATGATACACCAATTGATAGAACTCAGTTCTTAGATGATAGCTGTTATAGGTAAGGTTCAATAAAATTGATCATAAGATGGATAGATAAAAATCAAAAAATATATTGTTGGTGGTCTTATTTTGGCTAAGCTAAAGACAGTACCAGATCTAGGGCTTGGACATTTCAATTTTTCAAGGTTTCAGAAATAGAACAACAGTGCAGCATCTTTGAGATTGAATGGCAGCCATATGATAGCTTTGTCAGGTTGACAGCAGTTTTCACTAAGCTATCTAATTTGATAGTTGGATGATCTAATGTTTCAAACTGTCAAAGCTTCCATGCTCACTAAACACAGATATATAAATGTTACTTAAATTTTATGTATGGCTACTCTGTTATTCAGCATAAAAGCACTGCACCACTGGACCACTTTACATTGGCTCATTATACACATTGTCTCCTTATTTACTGCCTCCTTAGATCTAACTGTTACTCTTACTTGCCACTTTGTTTTAAAAAATTTCACAGATATATTTTGTTACTTATTCTACATAAATATTATCTAAATGTTTCAGAGGTACAGTGGGATCTTGTTTCTCCACAACATTAGGCTCAGTACTCCATGAATTGTACCACACTTTTGATTTGGGACACTCAAAAGATGGTATCATGGGAAGAGGTTTTGACAACATTTGCAAGGTCTTCACAAATCCACAAATATGCAAGTCATCCAGCTTCCATAATAAGATTGAATTCAAAGAGCAACTTAGCACTTGCAGCTTGAAACATGTTGACAAGAATATGAAGAAAGATTTTACTGTCATCAGAAGGACTGAAGAGGTTGATGATACTCTGTTAACTAAGAGTTGTGCAGTATTACTGAGCTTCCATAGGTATAAGTTTAATAGCTTTTATTGTGCATTTCTTGCATCTTGTTTCAATATTATAATACCCTAAAGGATCAAATAATTGAACTTGAAACTGTTTGTCAAATTCTCAGTCTTTATGAAATCCAGTACATGAGTCTCAATCACTCTTGGTTGTATTCAAAACAACTGTTTTGTTTATTCTATCTGATAAAAAGAATACTGATCCATAATTCAGGACAGATGATATAAGTAATCTATGGCAAATTTGTTTTTAGGTGGTTGAACAATTACCCTACCCAGACTTCCCATCTGTCTTTTGACAGTTCAAATAAAGTTGTAAAGTCGACAGCAGGTGTCAGAGTGGTTGAGATAAGACAAACAGAGGATGAGCTAATTCTCCAGAGTTGGGTTTTTATCAGCAAAGTATTGAAATTCTCCTTCCAAATACCACAAAACGTCCTTAGTGAGTTAAACAATCAAAATCTCATCATTCTAGTGGAAGACAGCATAGGAACTATTATTAAAGAAGAGTTTGTTGCTTAGATATTATATAAACGTATAAACATATTTATCTTTCATATAGTCAGACTGTGATAGAAGATAGGTACTAGAGGGTTATTCTCTTAGATAATGTTTGTCAAAGATGGAACTATCATATCTTAAAGTATTTTCATCTTATAGTTCTATGAAGTATAGTAATGCTAGTATACCACTTTGTCCTTACTATTATGAAATATATATCATTTATGGCGATACTCTTGTTTCATTTTTTGGTCAAAACACACGGAAATGTCAAGAGAACTGCTTCCAATAAGCAGGCATCAACTTCATATATACAGTTGCAAGACTTGTGAGAAGACACAGCAAGGCGTCCCACCTGTTTTCTTTAAACGTTTCATTAATGCCTGTTTTACAGTGAGCAAGATCGCATGCGCGCTAACAGAACAGCTGATTCTTTGCAATTTTCTTGCAGCTGACGGGTCTTGCAGGAAACTTAATTCATAATTTTTCGCACAAGATTTCACTTGATTAATTTTCAGGAATCAACGAAATATCCTTGTCCACCTTAATATATAACAATGGCAGCATTGTCCAATTTTGCTCCTGTTAGGCGGCGCTTGTGTGGTTGGAAGTTAAATTGAAAAACGTTTTCTTTACACAGAAGCAGGCGCGCAGGCAGAAGCGTAAATGCCAGGGCACCGCGGCTGCTATGAGGAGGATAAAGACACTCATGTAAATTGTTCCAGAGTTTTGATACTTAGGGACAAACTAGCCGTCGTATCGGCCAGTTTTGGATGTACGAAGTTCGACACGGTTAGGATGGGAGGCCGAAACATCATAGAAGAGAGCTCTGAGGAGCAAACCCCATTGGCGTAGCGGTAGAAGAGAGCTACACCGCTGACGGTCCACTGGTATAAAAGGGTCCCGAAACTGTCCGTTAGAGAAATGTCGACCAGTCGGCTCCAACAGACAAAAAAACGTTTCAAAAAGTCAATGAGCAGAGTTGATGGACTTTTGGGCAGCTCTGTATATTGGCGTGGAAAATGAAAGGATATGGAAAGTGCCCAGATCATCTATAAGTTTCCAAAAAAAATTCCAGTAGACAGATTTAGCAATACATATCTGATCTACGTTTCTCCGATATCAATAATGAGCAACACGAATATTTTGTTAACCCTTACGATAACAGGACATCCTCGCTTACGTTTACCTTGGCAGCTATCACGGTGATATTTCGGTAGCCAGGGCCGCCTAAATTCGCCCACAATTAACCAAAATGACTCACTAATTTAGCGGAAAACTTCAAAATATTTGCGCCGCGCTTGTGAATTTTATGATAGCTTGTCCGTGCGGCTGGCAGTGTAATCTCTTTATTATATTTATTTTTTCGGTCTTGCACAGCAGCATTTTTTGCGAATTGTGTAAATATTAAATATTTGCGCGTGAGCCAGCGAAGTTTGAGGAATCCGCCCATTGTTGTGATGTGCATTTCGCGGTATACGGTCTTGTGAAGGGCATAGGTCAGTGAAGTGATTTTTAGATTTTTGGACCTGCTAAGATGAGCATGAAACGTGAATGTTTTCCAATTTGAAATAATAGACGTTCATTTTGTCCGATAGACTAGGTCCATAAAGCTTCTTTTGGCACCATGTAGTTTCAGTAACGCCTGCACCGATTTTGTTGGAGTTCGGAAAATGATATTATTTAATATTATCTTTAATCGGGTACTACAAGGGATTATCACGTAACCTTTATGATTCCATGTAATTAGTTCTCGTGATTTCAAGCCGTAATGCGATTGGTTAGAGGTAGTTCAGAATGATTCTTAATCTATTATAAAGAGTTTTCCAATAAAAATGGGTTGAAATTGAATAAAACAAAACGGGGTAAGAGGTATCACCAGTTTTTTATTCGATGTAATCATGCATGACATTTTGTTTTAACCAAGTGCAAAGGTCCTACGAGCCATTTTAATAAAATATCACATCGTTGAAATGTTCGACGCTTCTTCACACATTGGCACACGGACCGGTAGGAATATTACGTGAAAAACACATAATATCAAAAAACTTGTTGACTAGATAGCTGGTAGTGTGCAAATAGTTCATTCCGCGCCTGCTACAAGTGAGCATGAAGTGAATGACAGATAGTTCCTAGTTGAGAACTAGAAAAAGCTACATAATGTCATAAAGAACCTACATAATTTAAAGGGTGAAATTACAAGGTCTTCTCTGTGTGAAACATAGAGCAGTTCTGCTGATATCATATTAGACGTTAATATCGTTCAAATTTGGGTAAAAAACTGTTTATCGTTGGCCTGTTTTCGAAAAATTACGGAACAATATTAAAAAAATGGTGTCAAGTTAGATTGACTGGTACTTTCAAAATGTTGTTTGACTGCCATTTTATTCACGCCGCGTGAAAAAATAGCCTTAGCATATTTCTAATATCATCAGAAACTTCGGAATCGTCAAAGAATATTTTTTTACTTTTTTTTTTAAATTGACAGTCTTCAACATATCATTACGCTCAACATTTTAACAGAGAGTTGCAGAACATTTAAAAACGAAGTTCGGGAGCGATCGTAAGTTTTTAGTTTTTGCTCATAACTTCGTCGTCACTCCGGTTTTAAAATAAAACATCGACTATGATACCACATCAAATCTTTTTCCAAATTTCAACAAAATCAGTGCAGATGTTTGCGCGGTTAGAAAATGCCAATACACGGACAAACCAACGAAAATAAGAGATATGGATTCTCGTAATGATTTAAGAAATAAAAAAAATTAACTATAATTCGAAAATTCCGCGACTGAAATACTCGCTCAGTTATCGGCGGGAAGTAAAATGAACATATCCTTCAAGTAGTTGATCTTATCTCAGACCGTATTTAAAAACTGGCTGACGCTTTGCACATACAGGTATGACTAAAGCAAACATCTAAGTAATTCCGCTTCAACCACATGTCTATCACTTGATAAACTTTTATCTAAACACTTTGTCGTTCAGGCACATTTAGTTTTGCGTGGAACGTGTAGCAGTTGCCGCGATACGTTAGCGCGATTTTTTCCTAAAAAATACTTTGGCAAATGAACTGGCAATCGAACTGAGCGCAACACATCTAGAAATACATGAGATTTGGTTGTTGTTGTTTATCGTTAAACTGCACACATCGTGGGTCTTTAAAATATCGAAACAACGGAGGAAGAAAGCATGGAGAATGTGCCGCTACTAAGGAGAAGGGTTGGTTTTTTGCTTAGTGATGTGTCACTTTTTATACTAAATGTAGTGTGTTTTAGAGTTCGTCTGTGAAAAAAGAGTTTACTGAGAAGGAGCTGGAGGGTGAGTAATGAGCGTTTTTTCCATTATTAATCCACGCATTTTCGGAAGGACAGTGCGATGTAGCACGTGTCGGTGCCTAGCTAATATAATTTAATCACTTGTAGATTGTATAAAATTCTTGCATAACTATGTGTGATTTTGCTCATCGGTAATATTTGCATTTCGTCGATTTTGTCAATGTATGATCTTGTGATGAATACCATCTATTAAGGCATATCAATTTCGTGCGATTTACATATCAACTAATTCATTATGTCATTTTAAGCAAGAATACCGTATAGAAAATACTTTATGCGGGTATTTTGCAAACTGCATACACAAGCATGACTTTTCAAGAATCTGTTGATACAAATTAAAGGGTTAACGAAAAAGGCAAAAATAATTGATGGCCCTGTCCAAAAAATTTAAAATTCGGTTGTTATGTTCATTAGTCAAGCAAATTTTGACTTAAGACACGAGGAAGATGAATATAACACAAGAAACTTATCCTATGGGTTTTATGTCAATAATCCTCCATGTTTATCTGGCGTCTAAATGAAACTACATATACTTGAAATACTATTAACTGACGACGTTTCGGTCACCACTGTGGCTTTTTCAAGTACAGAATTGTCAATTGTACTTTAAAAATACCAGGATTACGAGGAAGATGGTTTTCTACGTAAAGTACTCGTATATCCAGTCTCCATACACACGTCCCCTTCTTTCTCTTTGAAATGATGGTAACAGAAATATGAACCCGAATAGACCCTCTAAAATATAAAAATGTTTCATTGTACAGGGTGCGGCAGAGGACGGACGTTTTTGGGATGGGTAGTACTCTCCGCCTTCGTCTACGAAAGAGGTGGGGAGGGTGCCGTTTGACTCGTGAGATCCTAGCATTTTTTACCAGTTGTCGTTATGGAGCCTTGGACGGTGGAGCATCGCGTTTTCGCCTATGATTGTTTCGTCCGAATAATGAGTCAGTCATCGTCGTACAGCGCGAGTTTCGTCTCCACTTCAACATTCATCGGAATAGAGCTGCTCCCTCTCGAAACACCATCCTTCGTTGGGTTGAATCACTTCGCAGGCGTGGTGAACAGATCAACAGAAGACCAAGAGGAGCGCCGCGAACAGTTCGAACTCCTGAAAATGTTCAACGCGTTCGACAGGTCTTTCTTCGCAGTCCGACTCGATCTGCCCGGAAACATGCTGCTACATTTCGCCTTAGTGATCGTTCGGTAAGGCGAATTTTGCATATGGATCCAGCAGGATGGGGCGACCGCCCACACAGCCCGAGCATCCATGGACGTTATTCGCCCTTTCTTCCCTGGTCGCCTTATTTCCAGGTTTGGCGATGTTCATTGGCCTCCTCGGTCCCCAGATTTCTCCATATACGATTTTTTCTTATGGGGACACCTCAAGGCTAGAGTATACGCGAACAAGCTCCGAACTCTGGACGAATTGAAGTGCGAAATTCGCGTGGAAGTCGACCAAGTTGAGAGAGCGATGTTGGAGAGAGGCTACGCGAACTTCCAAGAACGCCTCCAGCACTGCATCACCGATTTCGGCCACCACATGCCTGATGTGATTTTCCACACTTGACTGTCTCAAATGCTATTTCCTTGTAAACCTGATTCCGTCAATAAATTTGTTTTCGAGTAAAAATTAACTATTTTATATTTTTTTTAAAACCGCCCATCCTCTCTGCCGCACCCTGTATAAGCTTTGCTTCAGTTCTGATCGGAGTCTAAGAACTAAAAAAACTAAGAGTACATCAGTCTTTTAGTTTTTCGGGCCTTGGACCTTCCTTGGGTATACTTTAAAACATATTTTACGCTATGATTTATTGCAATCTTTTTTCGTCTGCTTGTCACGTCCAGTCTTTTCTTGGTGCATTTTCAAATTAATGGTTTTGTAAATACTGACTATCAAGAAAATCCATATTTTATGATTTTGGCTTATTTTCAAGTCTAGTCCGCTATTTTTAGGTTTAGTAAAAAATGTGTGGATACCACACACTTCCAAAATGTCAGGTTTTCATCATTAAATATCACAATAAAAAAAAAGTGTTTTCAAATTATGTGGAAAGAAGTAAAAGATGACAATATTTTCACATCAGTAACGAATCTGGATACGATATATTTTTCGTGACCATATAGTAAAATCGCCCATTTCATGAAATGGTCGAGGATTTTTTTATATCGAATGCAAGGGCAAGGCGGCTGCTATGAGGATCCCAAAGAATTTTTGTTAAACCGATTTTTGTACTGCCTAAGATTAGCAGAACTGGGAAAAGACTGCTCTTGTAGATTGTTCCACAATCTCGACACCCTAAGGGCAAAGGAGCGGTCGTACCGGCCAGTTCTGGATGTACGTACTTCGACACGTCTGTCTGGCAGGCACATTCCGCGGCGGCATCATTGAGGGGAGCTCTAAGGAGCAAAGTCTATTGGTGTAGCGATAGAAGAGAGCTAGATCGCCGACGGCCCACCGGTGCGATACGATCCCTTCTGTTAGAGAAGAGCCATGGATCAGTCGGACAACCCTCCTCTGAACAGCGTTGAGCACCAATAATGTAGTCAAGGCGGCAGCACCCCAAATATGTGAGCAGTCCAGTCTTATATCTGGGCTTTGTATAGAGTGAGGTCATGTGGAGAACTCAAGAAGTCAGAAAAATTTGATTATCCCTGTAGATATTCCGTGGTACATGAGATCATAAACTATAATAGACGACGGCTGAAATATCTAGCAATTCTACTAGGTACATAAATGTTGATTATACACTCAACAAGCAAAAATACAAGAATTTGCAATTCTCAAAAAACCGTTTCCACAAACGCATTGTTTTTAGTTTTATGTTGAACTGTTATAAATATCCTGACGCTTTTAAATATAACATTTACCTTATTTCAGAACTATGTTCGACAGCTCTCCAGGATTTTCGCTTGCATAATTTGATGTTTGGCAACCTGTCTTCGCTTTTCGCTTGTACAAGCTAAATTAATTTTTCAATTTGTCGAATTTTTGGTCGTATGCCAATGCTAATAAAGCAGTGTGATGGACTCTATTAAGTGTTATTTACTATATCTTATTAATAGATTCCTGTCGTTGTACTATGCGGGATCTAGGTCAAGTGTATTCTGTTCACTTTTAAAACCCGAAGCAAAAATGCACAGGGTGTTTCCACAACAGGAAGCAAAACTTCAAGAGATAATTCTTTGGACAATTCTAAATATATGTTCAACTTTGATGATTTTCGAAAAACGCTTCATAGGTCATACAATTTTTTCTGGTAAAGATGTTAGTAAATGAAGCATCATCTACAAAAACTGTCCAAAATGATCTTCTGTAGGGAGAATTCAAGGCGCTCACTGGGTTCAAGTCTGGAGTTCGAGCAGGCCCTCTTCTAGATCTTTCAAGCGAGATCCTCGAATGTTTCTGTTAAACACTCAATACAAATAATTCGGAGGTTGCTCGGTGATAAGAAACTCTGATATATTCCAAAGAGTTTAGTTGTTTATGACGAGGAGGTTGTAGTGTTGTATTCCAGCTGGAGTAATTTTAAATGTTTTTTGAAAATCTAGAAACTCCTATCAAAACATTGTGCCATAAAAATTGTATCGGAAATTAAGAGGACTTTCGATAATCGAAGAACAAAAATAGAATTCTCCAAAAATAATACTCTGAATTTTTGGTATATGTTCCAAAAATATATAGCTTAAAGTCTATACAGAGTGTCCAAATATTCTATTGACATAAAAGTACCAAGGAGTTTTTAGACTCAAAATAAGTGAATTGGACATAATACACCTCTATGCAAAAGTGCTTCATTTTTCCGTTAAAGGCCGCCAAAGTTTATTTAAACACATTTTTAAGATATTTTAAGAACCGATAGTCCGATTTGAATGAAATTTGGAACACATATGTTTTACTAGACGTTCCAATATTTGACTTTTACGAACAACTCTAAAGGGTTCGAGAAAGGTGAAAACTACCCCCACCCCTACATAGCAAAATTTTTTGGCAACTTTCCCGACGACTCTGACTTTTTTATTCAGCAGATCTTTGTATCCTATAGAAAAAGGCCATCTTGGATAGTTTTCGAGAAAAAGAATATTACTTATTACAATTTTATTTAAAATAGGCAATAGTGCGGATTTTTCATAAAAGGTGTTCAATATGACCACCATTTCCGCACATAACAATATGGAGCAAAGATTTTTAACAATTGAAAAAGAACATTTTTTAAAAACCAGCCCCGAAGAACATTTTATTCTCGAAAACTATGCGAGATGGCCTATTTATATGAGACAAAAAATTAAGCAATTAGAAGGATCTTTTTTCGCTCTTCCAGAACCTTTTCCGATATTTTGTCAAATATTAGGACATCTAGCAAATCGGACTAGTGGTTTACAAAATATCTAAAAAAATGTGTTCTAAAAAGTAAACTTTGACGCCCACTAAGACACAAACGAAGCACTTTTTAATGGAGGTAAATCATGTCCAATCGACATATTGTGAGTCTGAAAATTCGTGGTACTTCCGTGGTATGTCCATGGAATATTGGGACATCTTGATAATAAGGGACTAACGAATTATCCTATATCAGAGATCAACAAGTCTAAGAAACTTTAAGAAAAGCATCAACATGATTTTACAATTTTTATGTTTAAGAACTGAAAACAGCGTTCCAGTTATTGGACAGGAACCGAGATGGCAGGGTGACACCAGGAGAACTGAAAATTATGTTGAATAACTTAGGCATCGAAATTAAAGAAGAAAAAGTAGAGGAGATAATCAGAGCTATGAGTCATTCAGGTAAAATGTGTGCTCTTTTATATTTATGTTTAGTATCAATTAAACTCATCCTAGCTTATCAGTTTGATAAAAACATCAATGGGATTGAAAATAATTTATGATACAGATTAGACTTAATTATATCACATCAGTTATAACACCACCCTCATTACGTAAATGTTGCATCAAATGGTGGAGGTGATTTATTATCTCGTGAACATGAGATGCGCAAGTATTTTCCGCTCGAATATTTAAAATCCAGAAATTTCAGGAAATGTATTACTAGATAATTGATTATTGTTATTGTGGTACCAAATTCTATTAACCAATGTGATAATCTGAGTTGCATTTTTTGTATAGTAGATTCATCCGGATTTGTAGAAGGAAAAATCCACGATGCCAGAACAGTTTTGCACTACCAACAGTCAATCGCAATGCGATTTGAAATGACGAGAACCACTGCGCGGAATCAGAATGGCAGAGTTGTTACGTATATAATGTCAAAAAAAAAAACGGAAAAATGTCAGCTTACTGACTAGATAGTCCCTAGTGTACAAATAGAATATTTCATTCCGCGTTTGCTCGCTATGAGCGTCACCAATAGCATGCTTCGTTGGTTGCACAAAGAAAATTGACTGAGTAGCAAGACCGCATCTGGATGATTGTGTGTATTGGTCTGAATGTGTATAAAATTAGTGATATTTGCTATGTGAGAACATTATTACTGAATATGCCCCTAAAGTATACCTACGACCTACGAGTATTAGCTGTGGCAGACGGGTTATTTATATGTTGTCCTTTATAAGGAGAGGTATGTTCAAAATTATATCTAAGGTCTTATTTTAAAAAATAAATATATTCTCTTACGTTCAAAGCCACAACACAGAAAAAAATAGGAATGAGGTATCACATAAAACATTTAGGCGCTGATTTGTATTTTCTATTGACATGGCAAAATAAATGTCTATAAAATTTAAATGACTGTAAATATGAAATAGTTTAAAATGTAATAACCTTTTCGCGTTTCCTAAATATTCCTGTCTGTATCATATTTTATCACCTGTTAGATGTAATATATATATATATATACCAACCAGGAATTTTCTTTTCTCATCTCTCTCATTTTTTAAATTCAGCGAATTTGCATATGTAATTTCCAGGAATATTAAGAAACAGTAGCACGCAAATCCACACTATGCACCAATGCTCTGCCGTTTTCTTTCAGCAATAGTATACAACTTAAAGCTCAGACCTCCAATAATGCCATGTCTGAAGCAGATGTTAAATCACATCAGAGCTAAACCATGATAGCTGCAGCGTCATAGCGTTTAGGCAACACGTATTATTAAATAACGAGTACACATCAAGTGAACAACAGCTAGCTACAAGTTAACATCTTGTAGAAAAACGTACAAATAGCCACAAAAAACCTATGTAATGTCAAAAAACCGACACGTCACTTTTCAATATACGTAATACCTCTGCGGTTCTGGAATAGTTCCTCGCAAAACCCGAATGAGGCTGGCAAGGGTATGTGGCAATTTGTGTCACCTAGCGGCATCTTCAAGCTTCAGATAATGAGCATTCTTCATTCCAGGTAGCGAGCTAATAGACGAAAACGACTTCCTAACCTTCATAAAACAAATGCAACTGGTTGTGCCCGAGGTCGAAGATGACGTGACCAGGGACCTAGGGGCCGCCTTCCAAGTATTTGACCTCGATGGAGACGGCTACATCACCAGGGAGGAGCTGAGAACTGCCATGGAGATGATCGGAGAGTCTGTTACAGAGAGTCAGCTCACCAATCTCATTCGCACTGCAGATTTGGATAACGACAATAGGATCAGCTATGAAGGTTTACTATTTTTCCATCTTATATAATATATATATATATATATATACAGGGTGTTTTTCCTTTAACATTTGTGTGGTAAAATTAAAGTAACAAAGTTATAGCCCTTTAGAAGTTTGAGTACCGCCCTGTCTCAATAATAATATTATGTGCTCGTGTTTGGCAACAACGGATATAATCCGCCTTATCGGTTCATCGCATCGGAAACAAAAAAGCGAAAGAATTTGAAACGCTTATCACGCTGTTTTTACTACAATTTTATTCAGTTGTATTCAGTCAATGTGTCAGTCGGTAACGCGTGAGTGAATAGTGGTGTTTGTTGCGTGGCTCAAACGAAATAAAAAATGGCACATGTTTACGAAAATGCTGAACTTGTGGACATGATTCTTATTTACGGGGGGGAGTCTTTACAAAATGCTGCCGCGGCATCACGGATTTATGCGAATCGGTTTCCCAATCGAGTGCAACCAACCCCTCGTGCCTTTGTTAATGTAGTACAAAGCGCTCGTGAATCAGGTGACTTAAGACCTCACAGGGGAGAGCATGCCGGTGCTCCAAGACCGCACGATCAAATACAGGTCCGCACTGAAATACTTGTCGGGAGGATACTTTATAAGACCCGGTAACATTTTTTTTTTTTATTTTTACACACATATTTTGGTTTATCTTCGTTCTACAATCATTATCTGACAATTAATGACTCAACTTCAAAGTCACCCTGTGTATATATTATTAAGCATCCAGTCGACATCCTACTTTAGGCGAGTATGTTAAAAAAGCCTTATAAGTCATGAAATGTATCAGAGAGTTGGCTAAGAGAATTCAAAATTCCACAAAGCAATTTTCAATCACCTGAAACATTCAGGAACGTATATTGGCAATAAAACAACGAATACTGGCTTCTAACTTGTCTACTGTCTTTGGTATAGCGACAAAGAGATGATTGATTTGACATGCTACATAGTCCATAGACAGGTCTATCTCATCACACAATCTTGGGAGGCAATCAATTGGTCCATATTTCGGCAGGCCAAACCATTAAGGTGTACAGTACCTGATATGGGTGAAATATAACCTCGTGTTGGCGTCGTTTATTTTATGTGTTAGAAGTTTTTTTGGTGTAATTGATTTCTTTGTGTTTGTTCTCACCAAAGGACTGGATTCTGCATTACTATTGCATTTAACAACACCACAACACGAGAGCCTTTTAATAGTACAAACTTTGAATCCGCAACTGTTTACGATACTAACAGTAAGTTAGCATATACTTAAATAATACAACAAATGTCGGTATACCTAACGAGATCATAAGGATGAGATTTATCGAAATAAGGCAGCACAAATCGCCATCTATCACCATAATCGGCCACTGCAAGATTGTTTAGCAACTATCTGTTGGAAGTGTAAAGATTCTCAGTTTGCGTTTGATAGCCCAGTCACCACTGTGACTTTCGTCCATTCGACCAAAGGCAGCCAATCATGCGAAGTTTGTTTCGTGCTTTTTGGCAACTGATCAGCATGCTCTACGTTTAGCCTCTGGGACGAGCAAAAGCATAGCAATTATCCTCTATCCAAAGTATAAGAATTGTGGAAATAAAACAGCGCATGGCGCCATCTATAACCAGAATCGATTACTGTGAGACTTTATGACTCTTCCATTTTCAGACGCCGGCAATTTTCACCCCCGAGACTGAAATCCTCCATGAACACGCGATACCACCCGATGGTCCTGCTTTGAGACCACCAGTGATTCCCCTTTGGCTTAAGAAAGCCGAGCCACACTCGGCACCTGTTTGTCCTAAATCAATATTGGCACGACCTTAGCCCTCTAACAATTGTAGTCATTACTAGACCGCAAGATTTCTAAATTGTGGAACGCTGAGTTGGAATATGAAAATAAAAGCTCCCGGTATCTGGGAGCTTATCATCGAAACTGACCTGTTTGAGGCCCCACGCTCCAGCAAAACTGACATTACATGCACGTCTAGAATTTTTGAAAAATGCGTTGGAACTTTCCATCATAATACTATACGAGTGTAAGGTCAGGCTGTCTAGATAACTGACAACCATGCCACATATCACGACGACTGGTCAGCAATTTAAGGTCAGAATAAAATTGATATCCAACGAAACAGTTCTTCTTTGTCATTAAACTGAATCGTGCAATATTCTGTGTAGGGCCATTAAAGTATAGTTGTAGTCACCGTTCTTGTCGGGTCAAAGTAAGACTACCAGTATCTCCGTCTCTCTCTTATACATACACATGCAACCTATAATATATACCCCTGTGCGTGAACGTTTGTTCGGTAAGCTCAAAGACATACGTTTTTAGTTGTTTGTCTCCGTCTCGTAAACTTTGTCGTTACGTATGAGTGCCCTTCAATCATATTTGTCAGAGTGACAACTTACTTGACATCGGCGTGCAATTCGAGTTTTCCTGTTATCAATCTTCAATATAAAATTGTACAATGCTCGAAAATACGATCAATGGAGAAGGCCCACAGCTCGTGCTAAATTTATTAAAGTATATCCAGGAAGAGTGAAAACAGCGGTCCCCTGTTACCCACTTGATGCGTACTGGAGAGAGTAGTAGATGCGCTGAAGATTAGTCTGCGCAGTGTTCCGGCCGTGGTACGGAGACTCGATCTGTTTACTTATTTCATATGGCGGTCAAGAAGGTTGACTACAACTGAGAGCTTACTGGTTTTGAGAATAATTTCTGTTTTAGTAACGCGGAGGGAACGTGCGGTGTATAAGTTTGTAAGTTATCACATAGCTATTTAACTTTTACGGCCATAAGCGGAATTTTACACGATTTAGTTGAGAAGTGTCTGCTTGAACTTGAAATATCTGCTAACCTCAAATTGCTTGTTTGACCAATCACAGGTATATTTGACATGGTTGTAATACATAAAACATCGGAAAGATATTTATGTAGAGTAGTATAAGTCCTGGTTTAAGCAACTTTTTTCTTTTCAGAGTTCGTGAAATTGCTGTCATCGTAAGAGTCAAACCAGTAGAGTATTTTAGCAACAATATGCACATGAGGCTGTGATTTGAGGTTACTAATAATCTTTATTTTTAAGGTATTCAGGAACGTGGAGATGTAGATATATTTACCGCACGTATAGATATGAATTAATATCCAGTTCCTACTGAGAGTATATTTATTTATAAAATCTATTAAAATAAATGTTGTACATTCAACTAAGCGTTTGTTTCCATGCATCAAATAAATATTATAAACTACTATAAAAAAGTGTACCTACCTATAAAAAATTGAATATCAGTTGTGCAAGGTTCCTTTAAAAATGAGAACTATATCGAGAGTCATGTAGAGAGAATAACTAGTCACATAAACCTGTATATATGACACCTTAATTGGAAAATACAAATTATCTTACAGATTTACACATACCTATCGCGGCTACTCACAATAGGCGTGCTATTCGCTGCTTGGGCACTAGTCGGTGATAATCTTTACATCTGACCGTACTAGTAGATGTTGCTACTTAGTTTTGTTCGAGGCGGGGTTTCCAGGACATTAAGGATAGTAAAAATTTAGAGGGCAACTTATGAGTTCTACGAATGACTTCTGTTTCCATAAAGTTATAAATCACTTTTGTGGGTGATTTTTTCAACATGTAAGTTGTCACAGTTTGAAACTGCTTAGCTTGAATACCCTGCGAACTCCGCCTTAAGAAGTACTGCGTGGAATTGATGCGTCTAAAGATTTTCTCGATTGCTTCATGTGTACGAAAGAAAATAGTTTGTTTGTGTTGCGGCAAAAAGAGAGCTGAGACGTAAAATATTATAAAAAACCAAGTTTAAATAGAATATAGAACGTGTCATAGTAAAAACGTTTGGCACTGGATCGCAGTAATAATAAAGCATGCAACACCACCAATTTCATTTGGCTTGTTGCTCATATTCTGTGTATATGTTCCAAGCAATAAAATTTTTATGAGATATCTGTAGATTGAATAGATTAGCGTAGTAAGTGGTAAAAATTGTCAGAGGTGTACTGTATGTCCAACAGGCTTGCAAATATTTACATGTCAAAGTTACTTACTTACTTTTAGTTCAATTCGTTTATGCCTTTATGTAAAATCAAAGGAAAATAGAAAGAAAAAAAAAGGAAAAGAGCAAAGAAGAATAAGTGCAACTGTTAAAGAGTCTTCACATTAAGTGACTGGAATCATTTATAAACAGTTTCAAAAGTAATTAAGAGGGCGCTGTTTCATGAAAATGTAATTTTGGTAGCCTAAAGTGTGCCTAAGTTAGGCCTTTTTCATTTTTTAAACGCCATTTTTATTCAGTTTCCTTTGAAATTAAAAGTATTTTAGAAGCTGCTCCATTCCCTCTAGTGTTATTAAGTGCAAGTGGATCTACTACTCATCTCTTCCAACGAATCTGCATGCTACCAACCCCAAAAAAATTTGAACAATTTTTTAGACGAATTTCAAAAAGAATTTTTTTGTCCCAGTCTTAATGTCCTTAGGTTTGTTCAGGACATTCTGAACAACAAGGTGCTTTATAACTTTTCTCTAATACAATATATAAAAAGTGCAAAATATCCCACTTTTGATCTCGAAAAACAAAATGAAAAAAACGATGCTTTCAATGTTGCCGCACTTCCTGAATAGCCTTTAAACATCCATTAACAAATTCTCAAATCATTTTAGATGTTATTTTAAACAATTGTTTTTAATTATTGATTAAATGCACGTTCAACGTATGATCCATGAAAATGAGAAATCCTCGCCGCGGCTAACGGCTGCATCTCTCTTGAGCTCACGCAGAATATACCTTGAAGTTCAAATTTGGCTGACGTCGTAATGTGTACGAGAGAAAAGCACGAGAAGCGTAAAATATGCATTTTAGAAAGAGTCACCGATGGCAAAATGCGGCAAACCGCTATCACTTGTGCTGCTAGGCAACGAGGTGGTTCTATCTCTAACACACGTATTGCAGGCTTGGTTAACAAAACACATGTTTACAATAAACAATACCGCCTATAATGCTTTGATAACCTGTTAAAGGATGTTTATAGAATATTTAGGACATTTGGCAGCATTAAAATTTTCTTTTTTTCGTATTGTTTTTCGAGGTAGAAAATGGGATGTTTCGCAATTTTTAATTTTTCGCTAGAATCTCTAAAACTACAAACCTTAGGGGCAAGTTCTAGAGCACATTTTTTGTTCAGAATTTCTTAAAAAAACACATTGACTGGAGTGAAAAAACAATTGTTGGAATGGAAAAAAATTGAACAAAAATAATTTGAAGCAAATTGGGGCCTGGCAACATGCAGATTCCTTAAAATGGGTCACTTTTTAATAAGATTATACTATCAATCTATGCATCATCATTGATGACACTAACCGCGTGGGTTAATTTCCATTCTGACTGCTGCGCAGATCGCGGGCAAAAAAAACGAAATGCTACACAAATTCGATTGCAAATGGTCACCACATCATCAATCTCATTACTAAGGATACTTTACTACCTTTAAGATCCACATCGTACACACTGTTGTGTGTTGTATCTGCAGTAATCATATTGCCGACACGGTAGCAATTTGCAATTCTTACTTTCACATAAATCTACCTGAGACTCTCAACTTTTAACAGCAAAATAAGTATTAACTCCAAGATGTCTCGTCTGCTGATGTCCATCTTTAGAAGTGCTCAACACAAACACCGCGACAACAGTGACAAAAAACCCGCATAGAGCACCGGCCATATCGCCGGCGGTCATAAGCTCCCATTCTCTAAAGAGTACTATAGACTCCGCGATTACAAAACCGGTAAAGAAAACGTAGTAAGTAGGAGTAACTATGCTGGCGTTGAAGAGGTCCAAGGTGCGGTTCAGGTAGGTGATTTGTACACAGATGCATACGGCCATGATCAGTATCATGGTGGATAGTAGCCAGAAGGTTGGGTAGCTCAGCAGGGAGGTCACTGAAACATTTTCAATTTATTATGTACGTTTCCTAAACATCTCATAGAAACACAAAGGGTGTTTTCTGGACTACTATAAAGAAGTTAATCCGCGCTTCCACAGTAACACAGTCTTTTGTCTGATCTTTTTTCTTTACAAGTTATTTTTCCCAAGAAAAATAGAAAAAGTTATTTTCGAAAATTTTGCTCTCCCTATATCTTTGAAATAATCTAGTATTTCGAAGATCTATTTCAAAGAGCATAATAGTCTTAGAATAGTCCAAATAATCACCCCCTGAATATCTGATGCTTCGAACACTGTATTTTTATAACTTACATTAAGTTGAAAAAGATTGAACCAAACTCTAGAAGTATGCATTCACTGTGTGCGCGATGACAGCTGTCTAATGACCATAATATGAAGGTTCGCCATGTTTTAATGTTTACGCAGATCGAGAGATTTTGTTATTAAAAAACTATACAAAAAAATCAAGCAAAACATATTGATATTTGCGTCGACTAAATGCACTTCAAAATCAAGGATCGGCGCGAGGCTGGAAAACGTACCTGTGCGCGAGACTAGACCGCGTGACATCAGTAGCCAGACACACCTCGCTAGCTGGCCTGCTGCATCTACCATTCTCACAACAACGCACCAGTAATCGGTTTGGAGTAGTTAGAGCTGGTACGATAGATTATTGTTAAATTCTGTGAACTTTGACGGTGTTAAATGTCGAACAGAAAGTGGTGTTTTGTGCCAAAATGTACAAGTATGTCAAGTACAACACCACAAAAAATTTTTGTGAGTGTTCCAAAAGCTGCCGCACAACGTAAAAAGTGGTTACGCAGCTCGACGGGATGTAAAATCAGTTTCTTCCACGTCGACCATGTACTGCTGCGAAGATCATTTTGACCTGGAAAAAAATATGGAAAACTATCTACAATACAAGATGAGTACCGTTTGAGTCCGGATGAATCCTAATATTGCACCTCATAAATTTGCATGTCAACTGGGTAGACAATTAAGCTCTAGGAAAGGAGTGTTCAGCGAAAAAATTGCAAGGCAGAAAGACATCGCCGAATATCTGCAGCCAGCGGCGGCACGCCGGGCGGGACCCTCAACCGAAAAGCCCGAGCCTGAAGGCGTAGAAGTTACTGAGGAGCAGCATGATGAACTGTCTGAACCTTTGACAGTACAAGTTCAGTCATAGGTATGTGACAAGTCATGTCAAACCAAACAGGTACATTTTAAAAGCAAGTCAGTTCAAATCTCGCATAAACGGAAAGTAATGGATGTTGCTGTATCGCCAATAAGAATTCCTGCGCTTGCTAAACCGACTTCAGAGCGGCCAAAAAAACGTTTGCAAGTGGAAAATGAACGGGCAAATCTTAAAAGTCCCGCAATAACAGAAACATCCGAATCTGATTCGTATGAAGCCAGTGGAAGCAATACTGAAACTAGTGACAGCGAAGCTGACCAGCTTACTGCCGAGATCGTAGTCATTCTAAGCGCAATATTAGTCAACGTTTAGAACCTGGTTTCATTGCCCATCCCCCGATGCAGCTCTAAACTTTGTTATTTTAGTAGCTATAAAATTCTATAATGTGACTTCCCCTACCCCCTAATTTAAGTATTCCCCAATATTCCTCCTTCCTAAAAAAATAAGAATCTCTCTACATCCCTGGAATTTCTCTCATTGAAAACATATTAGTTACCATACTTTACTTCAGAATAGTGTAATAAAGCCTCATTATGCATGCAAAAAGAACCAATTTCGGGGCTCTTAATAGGCGTAACAAGTTAAAAAGGTATGTATGATAATTTAAATGCCATAATATTTTACCTAGGAAGAAAAAAGCAGAGATAAATAGACTTCAACATTATTGTCACAAGCAGGCATTATTATGTCTTAATGTTATTAGCTTTCAATAGACTAAAGCAAAGCAGAAACAATTTTGCGGAGAAATACAAAAAAATACTACCCATTGGAACTAAACAAAAAAAAATTAGCTTCATATAGGTACTTACTGAAAAACTTTAACACCGCTGCTTTGAGGTTCATTTAAATTTCTATTATTTGCCAAAAACTCGTACACTATTTCCACATTCACACGGGATAAATTTCGCGAATCAGCTTTCTGATAGGTAACCTTGGAGCATTGTGCTAGCACAAATAAATAAAGTACACAAACGTCGGTGCCAGTTTATATAAATTCATATACGTATACCCTTCACTCTGTATACAAGATACAAGTACTCTATGAAGGCAACAGCACGTGTCTGGCTACTGACGTCACGCGGTCTAGTCTCGCGTACAGGTACGTTTTCCAGCCTCGCGTCGATCCTTGATTTTAAAATGCTTTCCGTCGACGTAAATATTAATATTTTGCCCTCAAACTTCTTTGACCGTTTTTTAATAACAAAATCCCTCGATTTCAATCAAAATAAGAGAAATACGAAAAATGTTGAACCTTCCTTATATTTGGAACTCAGGACTTGTCAATTCTTGGCAACTGGTTGTTTTGATATGAAATTGGTTGTCATTGAAATTAAATTAAACAACAATTAAAGTACTTAAACAGGTTGTGGCTCATATTAAACTAAGTAATTTGTATAATTGAACAAAAAATGAATGTGATTATATCTACATGATTTAAACTTCCAACCCTCAAACTTTGCATAAAACAAGGAAATTAGCAAGCACAGATATTTTACATCTCTGCCAAATCGTGTGCTGCAACTGATTTCATGATGTCCACCACCCATTTTGCAAATATCAAATACAAGAGAAAAACACAAATTTTGTATATGCAGTACTAGAAGAAAACAAAATATTTGACTGACTAGACCTCACTCTCCATAATTTAAGTAGTTTCTCCCCTCCCCTCATAAAATTTTATTCTCAGTTCAGTTTAACAAAAGCAATATCATTAAATACATACCTGAATAACTTTTTAAGGCTAAACCAATAGCCTTACAAGCCATTACAGTAATTCCTCCAATAGCAGAGCACAGTGTGATGTAAACACAAACATATCTACTCCCAAAGCGTGGTCCTAGGCAACATAATATGGCACTACAGAGCACAACCATGCATATCATATAGTGGGCAAAGGCTGGTTCTTGGAGTTTGCTTAAGAACAGGTTCAAATTTTCCAATGGCTCTTCTTTAGGTGCATGGAGTATAATCATTGTGGAGCCCAGAATGCACAGTAGACATCCTAACTTCAGAAATATCTCGGTTAAAGATGATTACTTGAGAATTGTAGATGGTTCTTACCTTCCCAACAATAGTTAGCTTTTCATTGAGGAATTTTGAAGCTAAAATTGCAGAAACTAGGACACTTAGAGCTCCCAAGGGTGTGACTACAGAAGCTGGGGCAAAACCATATGCTGCAAAGTTGAGTATTTCTCCAAAGCCCACTAAAAGTAGAATAAGATTTATTAGTTATTTTGAGTCTCAGTAGACCAGCTTAAGAATGTTGAGGATACATTCAGGCTTCAAAATGAAAGACTAAGATGTAAGATAGAAACACACCGAGTAGTTGGATTTTTTAATGGTCATTGCTTAATGTAAAAGACAAAGGAAATAGGGTTTTTCTCTATAGAAAGTGTAAAGCAAAAGAACAAACTGTAAAAAAGATTGCAAAGGCACCTAGACACTTGAAAATATAAATGTGGTTCTAAAAATTAGAAGTTCAATAAGCACTTGAAACTTTTAGCAAACTCGGCTAAGCCCTTTTACAACTAAAAAAAAACATTTTAATACTTACTTGCGGATATTCCCAGCCACCAAAACCAGTCTTTGAGGTAGCCAAAGCCCCCAGCTCCTGCTCTTAGGGCCCCAATTCTGCTCAGTCTGGTTAGAGATATCTTTTTTATAATGAAACTCGTGCCTATGAATAGTGATGAACATACTGCTAATAATATTCCGATGTAAAAATCAGTGCTTTTGGTTATTTCTTTGGATATGCTTGGCTCATCTTCCATCGTGTTTGAATCACAGTTTAAATACTGATAAGGAATCACGGGTTTCCTATATCATCGGAATTCTCACATCCGTTTTCCCTGCTTAACCACCGGCTGGGATATGAGATAAGTGGTTATATAGATTTTTGAAACCTGATATCACGAATTTATACATATTTCTTTTCTTATTCTCCCTAAAGATCGAGGATACTCCTAATCCCCTATCATCTTTCAAAATCAAAACAAAAATTGAAAAAAACTGCTGTCAATGTGAGCTGATTGCTGTCAGTTTTTTCTAGTGATGAGAATCGTAGGGTTCATTCGCTATGGTAAGGATTCAGCTTAAAGTGAATGAGTCTATTAGTGTAGGATTCGACCTGTCTTTTCATATAGAAAGCATTTTCTGATCTTTTTGGTATCATTTTTGTACTATTTCATTGTTATATTATTCTGGAACACTCTATATACATTCACCTAAGCCCAGCGTTGCCAGATGTACGATAATTATCGTTTCTGTACGATAATTTTAAGTACTGTACGATGTACGATACTATGTGTAGGATAATAGCTGAATGTAGGATAATTTTGCGAATGAGCTTTTTTACTCACAGATCTTGAATCAAGTGCAAACTTAAACATTATGCAAAATATACCACTATAAGATGTACAGGATCATATTCGTTTTGGTTATACATACGAAGATCAAAGCACCTGAAGTAAGGTATAATGCAACTTTTATTACAAAGTGTTTGTCTATTAAAACATGCCTTTCCAGCAAAAGCAATTAACCGATATTTCTTATTTCATTCAAGGACGTAATATATTTTAGATTATTTTTTTCCAAAGCGACTCATTTTCACTACATAAGCTGACTAGCACTGTTTAAAATCACAAAATTAAGCTTAGCGGTGTTTTCTCCTGTCCTAGCAGGCCATAATTACTTGTTATCAAGGGTATTGTAATTTATGGTGACAACAGCTGACAAGTTTTGCCGCGGGTAAACTGACAGGTAATGTCATACAATTTTTCCATCTATAAACCATTTGTAATTCAAAATTCCGCGTTTGTGATTGGTAGAAATTAAGACGAGGGAAATAGTCGTCATGAAAACTGCAGGATAAGTTTCAGATGTTCAGTGAATATGTTTTGTGGATGCTACATTAACACAAAAACTGGTGCCACGGCTTACTTGTGTTTGAATGTTTATGGTGGCTATGTTGAAAAATGTTTATATTTCAGTTCATAAATAAAATAAAATTTCTCTGACTGGATTACAAAACGATTCTTACCTAAAAAATGACCCTTGGATACGCCGTTACTTCAATGCTTTTTTTTTAGGTTAATAAACTGTGGCATGCTGGCGATTTTCGATTGTACAAATGAAGCCAGAGTTGTGGAACGACTTGATTTTTCTTCAGCTGATACAATTAATCTTAGCAGTGATGGTTGAGGTTTTGCGAATACAGTCACTAAAAAACCATATTCCCCTACTAAATAGTAGAGAAAATGAAAATCGTACTTCTCTAAATGATCATGTAATCTTAGATCAAATACTTAATAAATATGTTTATATAATAAAAAATTGTTTTTTTCCAATTGTTGGAAGTATTTTATCCTATAAAACTGGGCATTTATGAGTGTTCCGAGACATTAACGTTCTGCCGCATAGACGCCAGGCGACGCAAAATGTAAATAACAGCTTTTTTTAGTTTGTTGGCAAACATTGCTACGCCTCAAATTTTATACATCTCCATTGGTATCCCTCAACGCTTCATTCAAACCTTTTTTATATAACATTCTAGCAAAATAGCAGATATAGCAAAATTGTCCGATGAGCTGGCAATGCAGCAATCTAGGTGACAAGGTCAATTGCCGAAAGTATATCTATCCCGGGGTAAGGATGGAGTCATTTAGTACATCAAAGCGCTAGTTTTCCAATCTCATTTGCATTTTTCAAGTGGGGTGCGGGGTAACGATTTCGAGAAAAGTTTCACATACGGATAGTCTTCTAGCAGTGTCGGATGCTCCGCTGTTCGATTTTCGTCTATCCAGGAATAAGTTTCATTTGAGGAACATTTCAACCTCTCATCCTGCAATTTATGGCAAACAAAGCCGGCCAAATTTTTCGGCACTTCATACTCGAGCTCATCTATTTCTTCCACTAAAACTTCCTCGTTATAGTCAGCTGATTCTTCAGGTGCATTCAGTTTATTCGTTAATGATGGGGTTAGTGGGATGTCCGGAGTATCCTCATCCTCTACGCTGCAATACTCTGAGTAAGCGCCTTCGTTTCGCCCTACACTTACTCTACTTCTTTCCATAGGAATGGCATTATCTTTTAGAGCATCTTTTAGGGATGTAACCCAAAAGGGTATGTTTCAAATTGACCTTATAGGCACCTTCACTAAAGAGCTTCGAGCAAACCCTATCTGGGAATTATCCTGGACTGCAAACTGAACTGGAGAGAGCATGTGGAACACAAGGTTAGCAAGGCTCGCAATTCGATGTGGGCTTGTAGACGTGTTGTCGGTGTAAGGTGGGGGCTTAAACCCAAAGTGGTATACTGGCTCTACACGACGATAGTACGTCCATCTCTCTTGTACGGCTCCCTGGTCTGGTGGCCTTGCATTAGAACTGAGTCAACTAAGGCCAAACTCAATAAAATCCAGCGTTTGGCCTGTATTAGCATTACAAGCGCAGTGCGAACAACGCCATTGAGTGCAATGGAAGCTCTGTTGGATCTCCCACCGTTGGATCTGGTGATCCGCGGTGAAGCGAGAGTAGTCGCTCATCGACTGTGGAGTCAGGGCAGCTGGGCTTTCTTGAATCCGGTCAAGGGGCATACTGCCATATTAGTCGAATTAGAAAGGGAGGACCCCGTCCTTCTAAGCAGGGGTGATCGTATTACCCCTAAATATCGCTTCAACCGCAAGTTCATTGTGGAGTACCCAACGAGGGAGGAGTGGGACACCGGTAGCCGAGGACTCTCCGAAGTGAGCGGGCAGGTCTGGTACACGGACGGCTCGGTCACCGAAGAGGGCTCAGGTGCTGGGGTCTCTGGACCTAGAACTAGGCTATCTCTGCCTCTCGGTGAGTACACCACCATTTTCCAGGCGGAAATCTTTGCGATTCTGGCTTGTGTATCTCACATTCTGGAGGAGGGTGGGCCTAGGAGAAGAATAACAATCTTATCCGACAGCCAGGCTGCAATGAAAGCACTAAGTGCATGTAAGATTACTTCGAGTCTTGTATTGCAATGCAGGGAGGCTCTGGATTGCCTCGCAGCGAGGCATCCGGTATCGTTAATATGGGTACCGGGGCACGCTGGGATAAGGGGCAATGAGACGGCGGACACTCTGGCGAAAACAGGATCAGCCAGCAAGCTCGTTGGTCCTGAGCCAGCTCTAGGAGTAACCGCGCATAAAGCTAGGAGGAAAATGGAGACGTGGGTTGCAAGACAACACTCTCAGAAATGGAGAAGTATCTCTAGACATCTCCGCCAGGCACGAGAGCTCATTGAAGGGCCCAGTGCTAAGGATGGACGCTTCTGCCTATCTCTGGGTAGAGCCAACCTAAGGTTGCTGGTGGGACTGTTGTCTGGCCATAACACGTTAAGGCGGCACCTGCACGTGATGGGGGTGGCTGAGGATCCCTTGTGCGAACGCTGTGGAGTAGAGGAAGATACCTCGGCGCACGTTTTGTGTCGCTGTGAAGCTCTGAGCTACTATAGGCAGACTATACTGGGGTCCATTACTTTGGACCCTCAGGACGTAAAGGAGCTTGGACTCAAGGCGATTCTCAACTTCGCTAAAAGGGCAAGGCTTGTGATTTAAGTATTGTAGAGGTGCATAAGGGCCCGCTTAAGCGGCCTATGCACTGGCTCCTTATGGTGGCCGGGATGCCTCTAAAATTCAAGATTCATTCATTCATTCATTCAAACCCTAGCGCTTTTTACATTGACTTTGATTTTTCTTCCTACATCCCACAACAGCACACCGCAGTTTTATCAATTTACTAACATCACAGGGTATATAAAGTATGTATAACTAATACAACAAGTCACAAACCCACCAAAAATCACCAACAAATCGCACTATATACGTTGTATTAACTACGATACACGTGCACTGCAGTAACGTTACGACAATACTGCCACTGGTAATCACGAGCCGACAACTCTCTGGGTGACGTCACGAAGCTCCGCCCACATGCGCAACATCATATCTTCAGTGTATGTGTATCGTTGTCTTCTAGAGTCTAGACCTAGAGGCCATGTTATCTTTACTCGGGCCGGTAGGATTCTCGTAACTACAAATTTTATTAAAGTCGTTCTTATTTAAACTACATTTTTGTGAGTTGATGAACTTAAGAATCAGATGTATAACACCTAACATGTTGGTGAAAATGTGTAAGAGAACAACTCAACTTTCTTCTAGATTTCTAGATGATTATAATCGACAAAGGGAGCATCCTTATCGTTTGAAAAAAAAACTTTAGTGATCAAGAGATTCTAAATTGGAAGGATGTATTTGTTAGAACATTACAACTATTGAGGATTTATACTTGATTCAACAGTAACAAATGTGGAGTGCTATGAAACATTAAAGAAGCAAGAGTTGAAGGCGCTTCATTTCACTGCCAACCCATGGTGATCAGAGATAGATAGGACAATGGCTAATGTGTTCCAGAATCATGGCTAATGTAAGTTTATGTCAAATCGAGTGATATGTGTAGCGCTTCTCTGTTAATATTGGTATTCTGTTGTTGATATAAGATACTAACGACAATTTCCATAGATTTCAATTTTGAAAATATATATATATATATATATTTATATATAGCATAAAATATATGATATATTTTAATGATGCTGTAAAAATTCCTAAATTATATATAATCATATTTTCATTAAAACTTTTACATTCTGATTATCACTGTTATAGGACTGTGAATAGATATCCCTGTGTTATAATCCTTATGACAAATCTGGTAACTCTAGTAACCTAACAGTTGTTAATGATAACTATTATTTCTTTTTGAATTATTTTGTTTTCATCACTAATTCTAACAATTTTTCCATGCAGGTGCTGCAGAAGACCATTACCAGAAATGAAAATATTTGTACCATAAATATAATTGATGTGTTCATACAATATGAAATTTAAATAAAAATATATTTTCAAGTACCTATAGATTCTTTTACTGTTCTAAAATGTTCAAATAGCAATACAGAGATATATGGATGATTTTATAATGGCATGTGTTATTGACGCTGCTGCTAAGTGATTACTTATTTCTCAAAACAGCAACAATATGTTAATAACACATTTCGTTATGAAATCTTCCATATATCATTAGTAAATGCTCAATATATAATTGTACATGCGGCGTTCGTGCACAATCTGACAACCATGTGGCATCCAGAAAAAATGGCGATTGACACTGACATAAACCTTCTGTGTATATGT